CAAAACTCAGCAGCACTTTTTTGTGCGGCTGCTGATAAAAACATGATTGCCAACGTCCGATAATGGATATGGCACAACAACAAGAAGATACCACACATTTGGTCTTACGGCCTTCATTTACTATGGGTTTGAGGCATTCTGATTCCATGTGGTTAATAGTGATTATGGCAAAAATCAAAATATTTGTAAAGTCCCCATCCCCCTGGCAGAACAAGAGTGACCCACTAAAATAACTATCCTTTTAAAAGAGCTCTTTCCAAAAGAGCTCTTTCCAAAAAGCTGTATGTATGTTATAGAACAAAGGACAGGCTTCATAGGCATGCATTCTAGGCAAAGAGAACAAATATCAAGTACTTCTTTCCACAGACACGTTTATGGCACCCAATGAAACCACCGCAGATTGTTTTGATTGAATTGCTTTTTAAAATGCATTCCATCAACCTCCCTAATTTCTCAGACAGAATTCTTAAGAGCCTGGTGGCCCTTTCCCACAAGGCTTCCTCAGCTGCATTATTGTATCACCTGATGATCTGACTGTTTGCACTAACTCTTTTGTTTGCTGCAAACATCTGTGCAAGCTGGGCAAATTCCTGCCTTTAAGCAAAACAACTTACTCAGCCATTCATATAGATTGTTCAGTGAGAGGCACTGGTATGAAGAGAATGTATGTGCTATAAAAATATCTGTCCACTGACTGACAGCTCCCCCCTCTGTCTAACTATATTGCACACATCTAGGTAAAACTGACAAAAAATTAATAAACCCACCCATACATGATCAATAATCAAAAATACTTAACACGAAGTTATTTTCTCTCACATTTTATTATCTTCCTTTTATACTAGTGTTCAGGTTATAGTTTCTAGAATTGATTGTACAAGATGATTAAAAATGTAAGGCTATCATTAAGACATGCTTTTTTCTAGTTGTAGACGTTTTTGTTATTTCTTCATTGTAATAAGGAGAAGTTATATCTTTCTTTACACTTACAAAACTCCAGTTTATTTTAATCCCATCATGTAAATATATTCTTCATGCATGTGATCATACAGGCTAAGAATCCTACGAGAAATTCAGGCCCAATAGATCTGAAGTGCATCCAAGTGGGGGAAGCTGCTATATGCCCTCGGTCATTTTCTTAAACAACTTCATAAACATATGGCACAACACAGGACACGGGTGTCAAACTCGATCACGTCACGTGACGTATCGCAATGTTTTTTGCCTTTGCAGAGCGGTGGGCGTGGCCTGTGTGTGTGACGCATCCGGCCCGTGGTCTGCCAGTTTGACACTCTGACATAGGAGAACAAACCCATCAGGACAAGAGTCAGCAGTCCATCTGCATTTAAAAGACAAAGGCCACTCTTTCAAAGACAGCAAAGTCCACATTTTGGACAGAGAGGACCACTGGTTTGAAAGAGGGGTCAAAGAGGCCATTATGTCAAAATTGAAGTGTCTTCTCTCAACAGAGGGGGAAGAATCCGAAATCATCTATCTCCAGTCTACAACACAGTCCTTTCAATAGTTCCAAGAAAGCTCCACACCCATTTGCACTACTCAGGTGACCCTGAAGATACAGATAAGCCTCTAGGTAGCTTTAACAACTTGCTAAAAGAATGCAAACGAACAGTTTTCTGCAGGAGTATAAATCTTTCCATTCCCCACCATCCAGTCAGAGCTGAAGAAGCTTCTTGGATGAGAAGCAAAATGTCTTCAAAGAAAAACAAGAAAGTCCAGTTGCCTTGTGGAAAAGCATCTTTGGGATACTCTTCCTTGTCTTTCTACTGCCATCCCATTTCAAAAAGAGCTGAGATATTTTTTAGATTCCAACTACCCAATCTTTCCCTCTGGCAAAGAAGCTTCATGTCAGACAGGACTACATTACTAAATAGTTTCACAGATGAAACATCACTTGGCAGAAAGTATAAAGATTGATCTGACACACACTCACCTGTGATCCAGTGTGTTTTGAAACATATGTTCAGATCAAAGAAAAGGTGTGGGAGGAAGAGACCATTAGATCCAATCTTGTCCTATAAAATGTCAGGAATATTTTCCTTGTAATGTTGGAGCTTTACCCACAAGACTTCTGCAAACAAGCAGTACTTGTATGTACAACATAGTGCATTTTATGCCTGGGATGATTCTATGTATTATTAACAGAAATAGATGGCAAAGCAACCCTGTGACTTTATATTGCAACATATAAATAGTTAATGTTGACTAAACCTAGTAAGGAATCTTGATCTGTTTGTGTTGTTAATAACATCACTGTCCATTAATGAAGGTACAGTATTTCATGACTGTTCCCCGGCTTGATCTTCTCAACCTTCCTGATCATAGGAACACAAGTCCAAATGTTGTTAATGGAGAAAATCAGCATGTTGCATGTTATTTGCCAAATTCTTGAAAAAAAAAAAAAAAAAAAAAGCATTTGGTGAAAGATTGGCAGTGAAACCACAGTTTGGAATAACCAAAAGGAATAATGCAGGATTTGGCAATCTGTTGGTCAGTAGCCAGCAAACCTACTTTTGGGAACTAATGGCTACAGTAGGTAGAAACCATATTACATACAATGTTGGAGAACCAACACACACCACTGATTGTTATTGCTTTCCTTTGTTTTTTATAACTATGAAAAAATCTTTAGGAGTGATAATAATAATAATAATGATAAAGTTGGAAGGGACCTCGGAGGTCATCTAGTCCAACCTCCTGCTGAGGCAGGAAACCCTATACCATTTCGGACAAATGGCTGTCCAGTCTCTTCTTAAAAACTTCCAGTGTTGGAGCATTCACCGCTTCTGGAGGCAGGTTGTTCCACTGGTTAATTGTTCTAACTGTCAGGAAGTTTCTCCTTAGTTCTAGGTTGCTTCTCTCCTTGATTAGTTTCCACCCGTTGCTTCTTGTCCTAACTTCAGGCACTTTGGAGAATAGCTTGACTCCCTCTTCTTTGTGGCAGCCCCTGAGATATTGGAACACTGCTATCATGTCCCCCCTCGTCCTTCTCTTCGTTAAACTAGACATACCCAATTCCAGCAACCGTTCCTTATATGTTTTAGCCTCCAGTCCCCTAATCATCTTTGTTGCTCTTCTCTGTACGATTCATTCCTAAACATTCTTGTCCATTCCCTCTATAAAATCAAATGAAATCAGTGTTAACTGAAGAAGACTGTGTGACCTTCAAAAAAAGTGGCTTGACCATAGTGAATCCTAGAACTTTATACAGCTTTGAAATATTGTCATATGTTTGTTTCTCTACTTGGCAGCAAATGCTTAATGTCATGAGAAAAGAAAAAAATAGGAAAAGAGAAAAACGGAGTGTGGGCAAGCAGGTTTTGTTACCCATAGCGAACAAGATATTCTCTGGAGATCTACCAGTAGAGATTTCCCTATCCATCATGTTTTGCCATTCTCCCTCTCCTTCATATATGCCCAACTATGCTCAGCACGACAACCCGAGTTTGGGGTCCCAGCACTCCATTTTACAGTGCAGTCTATTTCTTACCAACGCTACTGCTAACTGGTCATAGCAGCGGATGAAAACAGATTTGTACTGGACAGTGCAAAATTAACAATGCAGCAATTAATAGGGATGTTCTTCTGCCATTTGTCTTCAAGATATTCCTAATTTACAGTTTTCCCCAAACAGGTTTTTTTTCTAATTCTCTTTAAATGTCTTCGGGCACCCTTACTGTAGTAAAACTTCATTTGAATTAAAAGGTGTTCCAAATGTGACATAATTTATATTCACCTTTTCTTTTGAATTTTTATAAGCATCAATTTTTAATTTTTTTCTGCTCCTAGGCAGAAAACAAAATAAGAACAAAATAGGGAATTAAGTACACAAAAACAATCTCCTGTCAGCAAAATTTGAGGTCTGTCCAAGCCACCAAACCCTTGCCAATAATTAACATCAGGAATATAAACAGCCTTTTCTCCACCTACTTTCAGGGTCAATGTTTCTCAGCTTTCTCAGTAAATGTAGAATGATGTAAAAGATTTGCCTTGGTGCTATAATTTGTGATGCATACAGTATAAAAAATGTTCTCGTAACATGCAATAATACAATGGTTTTTCATATCTCAATTCATCTGGAAACATGCTTACATTTCCTAAATTCATGACATGGCAATGTCTTGAGAAATTCCACGTCACTCTATTAAGCCTTGCTCTTAAGAGAGCAGCGACTGGACTACAAAGGCAGTATTGTAATAGCACAACATTTTGGTTAACGTTAAGCAGGAGCGATCAACACAAGCATTATTCATGCTAAATAAATGAATAGAAAATACGTCAAATCCTGCCTTGTGGAGCCGAGAAGCTATTCCCCCACTCGGCTTTACTTCACTGGCCATGCTAGCTTAAAAGCAGCGATGGGAACGGTAGTCCACAACTTCCATTATAATTTTGTCTGCCCATCACAGTTACGCTGATGGGTTCAACACTTCCGAGTTTTCTCTACCTTTTACGCCGTAAACAAGTTGGGCAAAGGGGGTCGAAAACCCTTAAAATCACACCTTGCAGTGCAAAATAAAAGCCCACTGCGAGGGTGCAGACATCGGGGCTTCACTAGGTCAGGGGTAGGCAACCTCGGCTCTTTTATGACTCATGGACTTCAACTCCCAGAATTCCTGAGCCAGCTATGCTGGCTCAGGAATTCTGGGAGTTGAAGTCCATGAGTCATAAAAGAGCCGAGGTTGCCTACCCCTGCACTAGGTGGTAAAGAAATCCCGAATGCCTCCCCGCTTTGCTGCCACCTCGCGGCCGACCGAAGCCTCGCAACCCAGATCTTAACCTCAAGGCCTCGTAGGCTCCGCCTTCTAGCCCGAGACCACGCCCCTTTGTTTTCCCGAGCCTTGAGTGACGTTATCGGGGCCTGGCCTCAGTTGCGCGGATAGGGGCGGGAGGTGGCACGGGAGCAAATATGGCGGCCGTGACGATTGTAGTTGCGCTGGTCACGGCCAGCGCGGAGAGAAGCGGCGCAGCAGCCGCCACGACACTAGCCGCCCTCGGAGCTCGCCTTCCACCAGCGGCGGAGTGAGCGCAGCAACCCGCCGGTCCCGACTTCTGCGCTCCGACTCGGGACATGGAGGCGCTGAGGACCGGCGAAGAGGGCGAGGAGCCTCCCAAAAGTATCCGCATTCTTGGGTCGGAGCTGGTGGAGACCTACACGGTGAGGCGGTGTGCCGAAGGGGTTGTGGAGACGGTGGGGTCTGGCGAGTCAGAGGCGTCGCCCTGCCCGGGGTCCCTTGAAAAGCGCTGTCGGTTCAGTCGTTGTAGCGAAAGGGCGAGAGGCTCCCCGTCCGAAGCATTTCGAGGACTCTCTGGGCGCCTCGGGGAGGTTTCACTTGGCCGGTGCTTTCCGTATTTTAGGATTTCAGGGAGTTCTTTAGTTCCCGGGTGGAAAAACAAAAGAAAACAGCATCCCTAGAGGAAGGAAATTGATGTCTCAGCATCAGCAAGCCAAGGTGGTGTCTTATTCCGGGTTGCGGTTGTAAATGGTCCTTTCCCGAAGTTGGCGCCTTTCGGACATGTGGGACTCTAGTTCCAATAATTCCCTGCCAGTATGATCAATGTTCTGGCAACAAGTAATGGGCTGCCTAACTTACCTCGAAGGTGGCTGGTTGGGAAAGACAGAAAATTTATTCTCTTCTGAATAACATGCAGCATCCTTGGAGAAGGAACTAAAAATATAATACGTGGCTTTAAAGTAAAATGTGGTAAAATTACCAGTCAGCTGGTAATATTCTTGAATCTGAATCAAACGTTGCAACTTAGGAAACCGTTGATAGCAATCTTATTAGTTAACATTTTTGACGTTTGTGGAGAAAAGGAAAATTATTTGTGTAATGTTTTTTCCAATAACATTATTGTTGCAATTGTCCTTTTCTACAGAGTTATGTCTCTGTAGTAAAACAGCGAGTCAGAAAATATTTAAGAGCTAACATTGCAAAAAGATTTAATATATTAATATATAATTTAATATATCTCAGCTGTTTTGTTATATAACCAAAATGGGCTCATCTGCTAAGTTTTCAGCTAAATAATTTTCATCTGTGAATTTTCTTTATGTGTGCATACAGTTTTAGTGATCTTTTTAATGAACTGATAACATACTATGAATAGGCCTTATTTCATTGCAGTTTGCATCTAAAATGTTAATCGGTTTTTATTGAAATGCTTTTGCAAAAATATTCAAGTTTATATATGGGGACATTTTTACTTAATCAGAAGAAAATGAATATTTGAAGAGACCTTTGAGATGAGTTCAATTCCCAAGGACTACACTAATATATTTATATACTGTAGGTTTCTTCAAAATACATAAGTGGCTTGACCGTGCCTTTTGAGATGGTTTTTAACTTATCAGTCTGACCTATAGACCTGGGATTTCTTGGTTATCTTCCATGCAAGTACTAATAAATTCTAACCTTTCTAAATTTTTTGAGATCAGTGAAGGTCATTCAGGTTTTATTAAGATAAAGTTCAATGCCATAGTTCCAAATTTAATGTTTGCTTATGTACACAGTATCTAAGGCATAATGCATGGACCAGCTAAAATTAGATAAAAGTATGTTTTCAGCAGAAGAGAGTAAAAGTATGTGGCTAAGTTTCTTATGTTGAAATCAATGTGCTAGATCTGTTTGGTTTGTTATTGAGCAGCAATATTTTCAATTCCAGGCACTGCAGTAGAAAGAAATGGATAGAAATCTTATTGCACAGTGTCACGAGCGTGTCAAGAATAAAATAAATTGAAGGTATAATTGTTGTGCAACTTGATATGTGATTAAATCTGATATATAAAACCTTGCTATTTAGGATATAGCAAGAAGTAGTTAAAAACTTTCCATTAACTGCTATGAAGTTTAGCCTCTTCTGACCTAATACCAGATAGAAGTGTTGGATCTGCAACCTCAGGAATTAGTATGATTTGCTCCTTTCCATTTTAGGTAGAATTGTGAAAGAAAAAGGCACAATGCACTATGAGGGCACTGGATTGAAGAAAGTGAGAATCCTATACATCCTTTTCTACAATACTTGCAAGTATTGTAAAAGGGTGTAAGTATTGTAGAAAGGATGCTATCTTTCTTGCCACTTGTTTGTTTTCTCTTCACCAACAAGTGTTCAACCAGGAATTGGAAAAACTGAGCTACAAGCCAGAACCTATTATAATAAAAAATACACTTTCAAATCTGTAGTTTATCTGTCTCTGTTGATTAGAAGAATAAATAGAGAGAATGGGCTGAATTCAGCAGCACTCTTAGACTAATAGCGGTTCAAGATTTTCTGGAATTCTAATTTAGCATTGTACAGGATTATGGCTCACATCATCTAGAACAAGGTTGTCAAATTGCCGGCCCGTGGGCCGGTTGCATCATGAGGCCGCGCCCATCCCAACTTCAGCAATGCGAAAAAAGCCGTGATACGTTGCGACATGTCACGTGATGTGGCGAGTTTGACACCTGTGATCTAGAAGAATACTGTTACCTATGTTGCTAATAACTTTATCCTCTTTCATAAGGTCCAATATGAAATCTTATCTATTATGCTTATATGCCTATGGATAAAGGGGATTTTGGATTTATTCATCTGTCTTTATGTATTCACTACCCTTTTAGATTATTTCCCTGATGAAATCTGCAAGCACTAAATGCAGAGCTTCCCTGTCTGTTTGGATAATTATAATTATGATTCTTTGTAACATTAAATATTTAACTCTAGAACTAAAAAATGGCAATTTCTGAGCATATATAGTTTATCACTTAAACTGTAAAACAAAATCCTTGTATATCTTTTGTATGTTCATTGATGCATAGATTGTTATGTTCATTCTAGATGCATAATTTGGAGGAGTGCATGTGCTGGAAAAGCTAAAGATGCAGCCCACATTTTCTTTGAATGTTTTGCTGCAGCCTCTTGTATTTCTACTGTTCAGTTTGCAAAGCAGCTAGTTCCTTTAGCAGTCAGAGCTGCTGCAGTGAAAACTTCAAAGACGTTTTCATGCATATGTAGCTTCAGTAGGTTGCATAACAGTGTACAACAAGGTTCCTAGTAGTATTTCAACTACATAATTTATTAGAACTCGCACATTGTATATTCTAACATTTTAATGAGTGAATGAAATGGAAGCACTTAGAACAGGGGTAGTCAACCTTGGCTCTTTTATGACTCGTGGACTTCAACTCCCAGAATTCCTGAGCCAGCTAAGCCAAGCTAAGCTAAGCCAGCTAAGCTAAGCTAAGCTGGCTCAGGAATTCTGGGAATTGAAGTCCACGAGTCATAAAAGAGCCAAGGTTGACTACCCCAGACTTAGAATAACAGAGTTGGAAGGGACCTTGGAGGTCTTCTTGTCCAACTCCCTGCTCAAACAGGAGACCCTTTACCATTCCAAACAAATGGATCTCCAATCTCATCTTTAAAACCTCCAGTTATGGAGCACCCACAACTTCTGGAGGCTAGCCATTGCATTAATTGTTCTGATTAATAGGAATTTTCTCAGTTCTAAATTGGATTCTAAGTTTGTTAAGCTTCCACCTGTTATTTCTTGTCTTGCCCGCAGGTGCTTTGGAGAATAGGCTGATTCCCCTTCCTCTCTGTGAACCTTTGCCTTGGCTAACCCTCTCCCCAGTAACCCAGTCAGTTAAACAGATGCTCAGAACCAGATTGTATGTGACGGTGCTCATAACATAGCTTTCTAAATAGGACACACACTTTTTGTGCTTAATTTGTAATCTTCCCAAGGGATTATCATCTTGGTATAGTGGAAAGGCTCGGTAGCTTCACTGATTCTGAAATTGAAGCCAGCAGAGCATGAGCTATCTTGCAGGAAAATTGGAACAGAACAGAAAAGATGAAGCTATGAATATACAAGTAGTTCTCATTTAGCAACCGCCTTGGACAGTGACCATTGGCACTTACGACAATGATAAAAAAGTGACTTTGTAACCAATGTATGCATTTATGATCCTTGCAGTGTTTCTCTGTTATGTATTTACCATTACAGCCAGTGTCAAGCCTAAGCCCAAACATGATACAGCAAGATCCAATTGAATCTAGTTCTTTATTTTCTTATACTTAATAGACAGACTAAACCTATAACCTAATAGAAACTCCCTGGGGGATTCTAGTATGTGGCTACCCTGGAATCTTTCATCTTTCCCCCATTCAGTACAGGATTGCACAGCCTTTGGACCCCTCTTTGGAATGTGCTACCATCAGCCTGGTCCTACTGGTGACATTCTCACCCCTCCATTCCTTCAGCTGCGCATTCCATCACAGTTAGTACTGTATCATGTTGTGCCTGATCCATTTTGCCTCCTTTTTTCTCCTTAACACAATAGAGAGATTGCTTAAGCAGGCTATATCTTCCTGAGCAGTTTTTCTTTGCAATACAGCCTTTCCCAAGAGGTGCTTAACATCATGTTAACAAGCTTTGCTCTGTAACTTTAATTAGTTAAATCTTTAGGCAGGCTAGCATTGCTTCATGACACTGACCCACCCTAGTCAGTTTCACTTAAAAGCTTTTGTTTACCTCCTAAACAGCTCTTATCGTCTGTAATCAGCATTCATTTGAATGTGTATTCCCAATGTATTCCTGCTTATTCTCTTGTAATCCTTTGCTCTCCAATGAATGAAATTACAAATCAATTCCATTCTAGCCAAGGTGAATGTTCCAAAGATTGGAGAGTAAAGAAAAAAGGACTATAAGATGTGTTTTTTTTAACCTTGTTTTCTCGACAGCCAAGTTCTATAAAACCTCCCTGTGGTTTGGATTCATATCCTTCTGACGCTGTAAAACAAAGGAAACGTGAAGTTAAATCATAAACATAATCATCCTCATGTGATGTTAAGTTAGAGACAGCTTTGCTTACCTATTGAGTCAACATAGCCAACTGAAGTCAATAAGTGAGGACTACCTGTAATCTTTAATCAGGTGGAGAGGGTAGGTGGCATCTTCATGTATGAGGAAATCCAGCTTACTTAAACAGAAATTTTTCAAAAATTAAAAAGCAAAGGCAAACTATTTCTCAATTATTTTCAAGTAAACATATGTTTTCATGCCAGATTATGCTCACTAGTTAGGATTTAAAATAAAACTGTTAATTAATGGGAGGTTAATCTGGAAGTCATGACCTTGGACAAAACCATAAAGAAATCTGGTTGTTGAGAAAGTTCAGTGACTAATTTCAAATTTGGAAAAGGAATTTCTTGATTAAAGGACAGTTGGAATGCAGAATGAGAGAACTATAAACCAAGGGGGACTTGGAATTATCAAAGTGGAAATGAACCATTCAAATTAGATATTTTAGGTCTAAAGTAGAATTTAGTTTACCAAAATTAGATGAATATATGATAAAGACTTCAGGTCGTAAGACCATACAAAGGAATGAAGTGGCATTAACACTCAGAATAATCTCAGCTGTAACTCAGTAAGTAAGTTCATATGTATTAGAATTATTCAATATCCTGTGAACATCAGTGTTTTACAAATATGAACACTTATTTCAGAATCAGTGATGGAAGAGAGTGAGGTAATCTATAACAAATTGTAAGAAGCACTATATGCAGAATATAGAAAGAATGTACTACTAATGGCTAATTGGAGCACCAATGTTGGAGTAAAAACTGGACATTGAGAAAGAGCAAGAGAAAAAAAAGATGACTTCAAATTATGGAATTTTATTGCAAAGAACCAGTTAGATTCTGGACTAAATAAAGATGAGCCACTCCCTTATAGCAATGATCAACAATACTTGTACTCTTCAGGCATGTGATGTGAGTCAATGATTGTCTAGAAAAAACTTAAGATTCAGGGACATTGAAGAGGAAAACAGATATGGTAGAAGGACAATGCTCAGGAGAATGCTGGAATGTCCTTGAAAGAGTGACAATTGAGATGGAAGAAGTCACCCATAAATTCATAAGGCATTAGGGCCAAATCATGGCATCCAGCTATATTTAGAAAAAAAGTCTTACACTTAAGGTAAAATATATCCTGTCAGCATTATCTTAGCCAATTAAGACTTACATTAATAATGTGATTGCTATATGACATCACATAGCTTTGTAGAATTAGTGTTGAAACAGTGTAATTTAAGAATATAATTTAGAAATCAAAATCATTGAAAAAGAAAATGAGTTATTATGATACTTTCATTTTGGTTGAATAGGGGCAAATACAATTTACTTGCTTGCTTGCTACTTCACTGAAGTTGATTTCCATTGCTCTAAAGAAGAGGCACCCTAAGTTTTATATTTTTGTACATTTTAATGCATTGAATATCCCTCTTCTAATTCTTGTGTTTTCATTCTGTAGATGAATAAAAGTCATGCTAATGCTTTGTGGGTATATCTAGTTTTGTTGATGCGTTATGAAAAGCCTTCCAGTTTTATCAATCCCAATATTCATTTTTAGCTAAGCTTTGTTAGTTAATTTCAAATATTTCTGAAGAGAAAACTCTTTAACGAGTATGTCTTATTCCATGAGGTGGACAAAAATGTATATGTGTGAGAGGAGCTTTGATAGCAGAATGAGCCCATTAATATCTCTATTGAAACAAAATAACTGCCTCTTTATTTAGGCACTGAAATTAGAGCATAGATTACTGAAATCTTTTCCGTCTACTTTCACCAGTGGGATTCACATGGCTTAAATGGAATTTTCTCCATCTCTGAATGGAGCCACCTGTATAAAAAAAGCATCTCCAACCAAATCCTATTAATTTTGTAATGTTGTTTCAGATTAGTTGCTCTTTACCTATGTGATTTTATTTATTTTGTGTCCAGATCAAACCTTAAACTGCCAAAATGAGGCCACCTTTTTGGCTTTATCATTAGCTAGAAACAAATCACTTTCCATGCGTTCTACTGATAGTAATTGACAGACCAACAGATAGGTCAGGTTCTGCATCTCTACCAGCAACTCCCACTTGATCATATTGGTTTTACACTTAGGCACCCCCAACTTCAATCTATTCAATATTCTACCAAGTGACATTGGGGAGATCAGATCCCTCAGCCATTACCTTCTGGGATTATTCCTTGTTCCATTACTTCTCTCCTCCATCTAATTCAGTTTTGCTCCTGTATACATTCAAGAATATTTATTTGTGCCATAAAACTCTTCCTACCGCGTTTTCCCGAAAGTCTACCCCCAAAATAAGCCCTAGTTTTGGGGCGAGGCGCATACCTAAAAATCAGGCTAGGGAAGGGTGGGGGGTTGGAGCTTACCATTGCAGCCAGGCCTCCCATGGATCAACACTTGCTTCGCCGGCCCAATTCTTCTGTGGCCGAAGGAGCAGCTTCATTCTGCAGCTGATAATGGAGCTCGGGCCTGCATTTCGGAAGGCCTATGCAGCTGAGAACCGAGCTATGAATTCAATCCACAGCTCGGTTCTCAGCTGCATAGGCCTTTGGAAAGGCCTCTGACTGCAAAATGCAGGCCTGAGCTCCATTCTCAGCTGTAGAATGGAGCTCCTCCTTTGGCCGCAGAAGAAGTGGGCCGGCTGGGCAGGGTTGTTGGTGCCGGAGGTAAGTGGAAAGACACCCCATAGCAAACAATAAGTTCATTTAACAACTGCTGCATGAGTCATAAAATTAGGTCCTGTCACGTGGTGAGCCGCTTTGTGACCATCATAACTTACGACTGAAATTGTAGGTTCAATTATGGCTGTAATCAAGGACAACCTGTGCTTAGGCTGTTGAATTCAACATGTTAATGCAAGATCCAAATTAAAGTATCACTGACAAATGAATGAGCCTTTACTTAAATACTTCTAATGAAGGGAACATCACTATCTCTGGTAATTAGTTCTGCTGCTGAGCTGCTCTTTTTGTTAGAATTCTATTTTTCTAACAGTTAATCAAAATCTGCTTTGCTCAAACCCATTATCCCTTATTCTGCATTCAGCAATGTAGAATGGCCTTTGGCCGTTCTTGTTTGACATTCTTTCAGGTGTTTGAAGGGTGCTAAATATCTAGACTTAACTACTCAAAGCTAAAAATGGCAAGATCCTTCCATCTCTCTTCACAGGATTTAGCTTTCCAGTCCCTGCTGATCCCTGTTACTTTTTTCAGAACCTTTTTTTGTTTATTTGAAAGTTTTAAAGGTTGTCCAGAATTGGGCATAGTGGCAGGACTGACAACAGTACTTGATGTGGGATATGACCAATATTGAATATTGTGAAATGTTACATTGCATTATTTGAAAACTGTTTTGTTCTGGGAATCTAAAATTTGGGATGTTTTAAGGAAGCTTTATGATCAAAACTAAGGTAGCTATTATTAGTTTTTCATTTGTTATAGTTTGTATAGTATAATAACATTTCTGGACAAGTCTGTGCTTACATTCTGTTAATTTCATGGTTTTCAATATATTTAAATAACAATAAATTGCAGGCTATGAGCTAGTGATTCTATTGTACTCTTGGGAAGGATGTAGGGATTTTATACATATGACATTTTTGAGACCAACTAGGTACTAATACATTTCATAAGAGCTTCTGTGCCTTTTTAATGTTAGCATGTTACAGTAATTTTTAATAATGATTTTCTGTGTTTTATAATGATTTTTTAGAATACTTTTTATATATTCTGATTGTATTTGATTGTTGTATAGCACCCAGAGTCATGGTGAAATGGGTTGCTATATAAATTTGATAAATAAATAACTTTTAGATTTGTACAAACTGGGTAATATTTTCTTTTCCAGGTTGTTGTTTTAGCTTTTTCAAAATGGTATTCAGTTTACCTCAAACAATAACAAAATAGTAACCTAGTATAAATAGAAACTGACTTCTGCTTTGTTGTAATTTTTTGGTTACACTGTGTTCATATAACCATTTGAAGTGGAGAGTTGTACATGAAAAAAAATCTTTATAGAATTTAAAATAAGTGCTGCATTGCAAGAATTGTATATTTTTATGTGAATGTGTATTTGTTGATTAAAAGTTGTTTTTCTTTTAGGTATATATCATTCAAGTGGCTGTTGGAACCCATGAGTGGATAGTAAAACATCGATATAGTGACTTCCATGATCTTCATGAAAAGGTAATTGTTCTGAAATTGTATCCTTAAAAGAGTTGGCTTAATCTTTGACACTCAGTCACTTAGAAAATGTTCCAGCATGCTTGTATGCTTTTTGAAAAGGAATACTGGCTTATTAAGTTGTAGGAGAGTACTGTCCTAGGAACTTGTTTTAGCTTTGACTAATGGAAAAAAAAGGACTGAACAGTGGGAGGTAAGTTCTTTTTCTAAAGATGCTCTTCAGAAGCCCAAAATCCACTTGCAAACCGAAAGATAATTATGTTATCTGCTTACCCAGTTAAGTTATAGAGTGGTAATTAGGAAATAGCCTTCAAAATTGACAGAGAAATTGAGTTTATATCTCAAGAAGCTGCCATTAGAAATTAAAAGTCATTTTTAAAAAAATGTTGTATATAGATTAGATTATTACCAATTATTAATAATATATGCTATTTCTATGAGGACTGGGTCTTATTATTAGTATTATTTAATGTTGTACGTCTTAAAGCACTGATTCATTCAGAGGCTAACCTAACTTTGTGTCTTTTATAGCTTGTTTTAGAGAAGAAGATAGACAAGAATATATTGCCTCCCAAAAAGATTATTGGTAAAAATTCCAAAAGCTTGGTGGAAAAAAGAGAAAAAGAGTTGGAAGTATATCTACAAACTCTTCTTGCTATATTTCCATTGGCAGCACCCAAAGTACTATCACAATTCTTACATTTTCATTTTTATGTAAGTTCTTTCCTACCAGAATTTAATAAATTTTGCAGTGTTATCTTTTCAGTTCATTGCATTTCTTTTAAACATAAGATCATTGTTATTTACCAAACTGTTACTATTAGTTGAGCAGTCAGATGGCCTGCCATTGAATTTGTTTGTTTGTTTATTTAAAAATGCTTTTAAGTTAGTTTAGTCAAAAACTATTCCAAGCAGGTTCCTATAAGAAACAAAGATAGATAGAAGGACAGATGGATGGATGCATAGAAGGATAAATGGATATTCTTAGTGCTTTGAATTGAACAAACTAGCAACCATTGCAGCTCCTGAAGTACTGGTGTTATGTGGTAGTATCAAGGTGTTTCCATTAGTACATGGATAGTGGTGTTTCGTATCAGATGCAGTTTCCAAGTCATTTCCTGGGGCAGTCCTATGAAATCATATTAGAGTAGCCCATTTAGGAGGTGACAAATGGATGAGTAAAGTACCCTTATTCACCAATACATCCCACAGGAAGGAGAGATATAAATAGATAACAAAAACCACAGGTAGTCCTTGGTCACCGTTGGGACTGGAATTTCCACCACTAAGCAGTGTAGTCGTAAGACATGAGGTCATGTGACCTCACAGCCAGCAGTGGCAATTCCAGCACTCCCCCCACTACTGCCTTCCTTCGTCTGATCAGTCTCCTTCCGTGCTGCGTATTTTGCATAAAGTATAGCCATCATGGAACTTAAGCAGACAAATGATGGAAGGGTACCAACTGGACAGCCATTTGTCCAAAATGATATAGGGTTTCCTGCCTGAGCAGGGGATTGGACTAGATGACCTCCAAGGTCCCTTCCAACTTTATCATTATTATTATTATTATTACTTTTGTTTAAAGTGCTATGAGACTAAGCTTTTTCTTATTTACATTGCCTTGTTGTTTAATGATTTTACTGCATTGAGCTGAAAATATTGAATCAGATGAAAATATTCCATGAAGAAATAAACATGTAATTTACATTATTGCTTAAGATATAAAATCCTGTAAAATGTTTTATGAATTACGTATATGGATTTAAATAATATTTTGATTTTATATTTTTATTTCTTATTTTTTGCAGGAAATCATTGGAATCACAGCTGCATTGGCTGAAGAACTTTTTCATAAAGGTATGAAACATCAGAATTCTTAACATTTAATCCCAGTATTTTATCCCTGAAATAGAATAATATATTTTCTTTAAAAACCTTATTTATTACAGTGTACAGCAAAGAGGATAATGAATCCCACCAAACTATGTGATATTTATCTGTGGATAGATTCTAAAGTACTATATTGTTGAAAATGTTGAGGGATGCTCATTCATAATAGTACAGCATGCAATGCATCTTCAATTACAGTAGTGGCCAAAATTGTGGAAACCTTTTGGGAAAAGTGTATTTTTGAGGTTTGATGGCTAATAACACCACTTTTTGGAGGGAGTAGTACCATAAAATTATATATCAATGGAAAGATAATTTAATCAAGAATGTAATATAACATAGTTTGTTCAATTATCTGTACTGTATTCTATGAAAAGTTATAGCCAAATAACCAGAAAAAGGAAGCACAACTTGCTTAGGTTGATATCAGGTAGCTTTCCTTCATCTGATTGTAGCCAATGAGCATGAGTGCTTAGAGAGCCAATCAGGTGTAATCTTGTTTTCACAATGAGCCAATCAGATCACAGTAGGATTCAGTTATTGATGTCATGTATTGAAGCTGAGAGGAGGTCATTTGTCAGTGTGTTATGTGATCGCTATCACATTGGTTGGTTTTTTTCCCCTTTCATTTAGTGAGCTTGTAAAATGTAATAAAATTAAAGTAATGGTGCAAAGAGTTGACTGGTTGCCCAGAAAGCGATGTAAAATAGTATTATTAAGTGAACAAGGCTACAGTTATAAAGAAATTAGAAGAAAAATTGGTGGAAACTTAACCAAAGATGGCATTTCTATTGTGCACTTTTTCCAAAAGGTTTCCACAATTTTGGCCACTATTATATGTTGGTTAGAGTCATAGGAAATTTCTTCTCTTTGTGATATTTAAAAAGGATTATTGAAGCTTATCTAAAATTGTTTCCTTTTGTTTGATGGTCAAATAATTATATTTTATTTTTTTAATTTATTTGTATCCCACCTCTTACAAACAACTCAAGGCGGTGAACATATCCAACACACCTTCCTCCTCCTATTTTCCTCACAACAACAACCCTGTGAGGTGGGCTGGGCTGAGAGAGTGTGACTGGCCCATAGTCACCCAGCTGGCTTTCATGGCTAAGGTGTGATATATACATGATAGATACACAAATAGGCATAAGCATTACATTAAATGTATTATGTTTGTATGTCATGGCAAGTATAACTGAACTATACACCCTGAAACTTCAGTTTACTTCCCTGAACAATTTCTCTTTAACAAGAGAGTTCAGACTTAGATCAGGCATACTCAACTTGGAAAGAAGGAAGGACCACAACTTTAGAAATTGTTGTGGGCTACAAAAAATAATAATAACTGGGATGCTGTTTAACAGCTAGCGATGTGGGGGCTAGTGCAGGAGCGAGTAGTGTTGGTGAGGACTTAGAGGCACTTGGCACCTTGTCTTCCAGGGCAGAGGTGACTGCAAAAAGCTAGGCGGTGGTGATCGATCCTGGCGGAAGTGGTGTTTGGCAATAGTGATGTTAAGCTTTCAAAAAATACTAGCAGACTAGAGATGGTTGCTTAGCGGGCTGCATGCTGTCCCAAAGGTATTTTTTCAGGAGGCAACTAGACTTTCTTCTTTTTCTTTGAATATGTTTCACTTCTCATCCAAGAAGCTTCTTCAGCTCTGACTGGATGGTGGGGAATGGAAAGATTTATATTCCTGGCAGACAGCCGGTCATTTGCAGTCCTTGAGGCCACTTGGGGTTTTTCTATGTCCTCAGGGTCACCCAGAGTAGTGCAAATGGGTGTGGAGCCTTCTTGGAACTGCTGAAAGGACTGAGTTGTGGAGCTGTGCTTTCTGCAGGATGTTTTCTGCCCTGTGTCTCTTCACTGTTGAAGACAGGCGCAGGTTGTTGGGGATGAGTCTGTGTTGTCTGCCTCTCAAACTGAAGCGCAAATGGTTCCTGTAGTCTGCACTTTTTCTGGAAATCCCTTCATACACCCATTTGAAGGGTGTTCATCCCAAAGTGCATAGCTAAATGTCTGTGGAGATTCTCAATCATCTAGGTCATGTTGAATCTAGGGCTGCACGCTGTGCAGGTCTGGCTTAGATTTTGTTGCAATTGGAATTGAAATTAGCCTGGAGTTGCCCTGGCTTAGAAATGGCAATTGGTTCATTTATTTTTCAAATTTTGTCTTGTTATTCCTTTTAAGTATTTAATTGGTAACATTATTATTCAGCCCATTTTTTTCCTTCTCCCATTTTTTTTAAGTATTACAAGTAGTCGTTGACTTACTATGGGCAATTGGAATTGGAATTTCTTTGCTAAGAGGTGCAATCATAAAGTGCAACCACATCACTTAGTGACAGCAACCCCTGTAGTCCTGGTTGTTGTTGTTAACTAAATCCCACGGTCATTAGGTGAGGCAACTTCCTGCCAAATTCCACAATCAAGATCACTGGGAAAGCTGGCAGGAAGTTGCAAGTCCCGGGCCAGAAAACAGGTAAATGGCCCCTGCTGGATGGGCAGTGAGTGAGGCGTGGCAAGAGTGGAAGAAGATACAAGGGAGTGTGCGAATGGCGGGGTCAGGGAGGGTACATGTGAGTCAGGAAGGGTGCAGAGGGTATACAAGAGGCACCAGTTGAGGCGCATAAAGGTTGGGGAGGAAGCAGCACATATTAGGCAGGTGCAAGGGGATGTGCAAGTGGTGCAGTATGAGTTTGGAAGGGTGTGCGAGAGGGGCCGCTCAGGGAGGGTATGCAGAGTTCCAAGGAGGTGCGTGAGAGGAGTGAGTTGGAAAGTGTCAGCCCTTCCCCGCTAACCAGGCAGAAAACACAACAAGGTGGACTAATTGTAAGGCTACATTAATAACTGCTTGATCCATTAGAGCCAATCCTTCTTAAGTTTCTTTCTCTGACCATTAAGCCACTGACTAGAGGCTTTTGTGTCTCTTGTCTGGTTGTTTCCTAGGCAATATCTTTTCCCCTTGTTTCCCAAGATCATCCACACATTCCATTACAGGAAGAGTGCAAGAGTGTGTGTGAAGAGGCTGCATGAGGGGAAGGGAATGCGTGAACAGCCAGCGCATCATGAATGCAGATGGGCTGGAGAAGGGTGCCTGGGTGGGGAAGACTTACATTGACTTTCTGGGGAAGCCAGTAGGAAAGACTACAAATGTTGGTCATTTGATTGTACGGCACCGCAACAGATTGTAAGAGCATGCTAATTGCTGAGCATCCAAATCCGATCACATGACTGTGGGGTATTGGGACAGCCAGAACTCCAAGAACTGATCATAATCACTATTTGTTTGGTGCCGTTGTAACTTTGAACAGTCATTGAATGAATGCTTGTAGATTAAATATACTCGTATACTTGTACTTTCTGGATACCACACAAGATAGAATGTCCTTCGAAACAGAAAAGATTGTATATCCTTGTTTCAAATTTCAACCACTATAACCATATCATATCTCTTTTACAATATTATTTTCTAGGTATTATTTCTAAATATATACATTTTGTTTTCTAGGAGAGCAATTACTTATGGCTGGTGAGGTCTTTAATATTAAACCTTTGCAGCTTTATGCTGTTACTCAACAGCTGCGTCAGGGGAAACCAACATGTGCAAATGGTGATGCCAGAACTGATCTTGGTCACATTCTGGATTTCACATGCAGACTCAAATATTTAAAGGTAACAGACTCTAATGCAAATATTTCAGCTGCTCATTTAGGTTGTCTGTAGAGACTATGCTTTATAGCAGACATGTCAAACTCGCAAGTCACGTGACGTCGCGCAACGTGTCGGGACGGTTTTGCCATTGCCGGCAATGGGGTGGGCGCAGCTCCTGGATGATGTGTCCGGCCCGCGGGCCGGCAGTTTGACACCCCTGCTTTATAGGAAGTGTTTTTTGTCTTGGTAGAAGATAGTGAAAGAAAGTAGCACTGTTGAGGTTTTCTGTTAAGATGGATGGTTAAGGCCCTCTGCATATTTAAATTAGCAATTCAGATCTTTCTTATTTTAAAGACTAATATGTATCTTATTGTAAGTTAAAAGTCATATGTTCCCAGTAGCATTGGAATTGAACAAAGAGCAAGAATGCCAAAGAAATAGATGATAATCCAGATATTTGTCTAGACTGTCATATGAAGATGGAGATAATTCCATGAAGACAGAGATAATTGCCTCTAAGGTAGATTCTTGAAAAATACATTAAGCTTTAAAAGCTGTGTTGAGAAAATTTCTTTAAATTAGAACAGTGAGATTAAAATACTTTAGTATGTTTTTAGTAAGATCTTTATATGCTGTTATGCTAATTATTTCCTTAAGTTCCTTTTTTTGCTTCAGTACTACTTCCATCTGAATAAGTATCAGTTCTGGTTATAGAATTGTATCTCACTACAACATTTTTTCATATCCTGTTTTTCCAAAGTTACACTTATTTTCTTTGAATAAGCCTATAGTGTTTTTGATCTTATATTTATCAGATGATAAGAAATACAATAGTACTGTACCATGCACTTGTGTTGATATTTATAAATTTACTCAGTGCTTCAATGAAGTTAAAAATTCATTCAGATATTCCCCCATTTAAATGTTAATACTTGAGCAAGCAAATGGGTGCATGCTTGAAATCTCTCACTATGCCAGAGATAATTTGATGTGAAGTTGTCCTTCACTATGTTAGCAGTATTTGAATCTTTGTTTAATTGCCAAAATAATGAATAGTTCAATAAGGACTTCTTAATTGATACTATTTATTGTTATCTATAAGCCTCAGCATTTTCAGAACATTTTTAAAGATTTAAAAGGTTAATACAGTGGAAAGTATGTTAAAATCAGATCCCAAAAAAGAAGTTTAAATCCTTATATTTTTATTATTTTGTAAGAAAGAACAAGATTGTGGACTTACCTTCTAATGTGCACAGTGCCTTGATAATGAGCAATGTGGCAGGGTCAATATTTTACTAAATTTAGTTATATAAATATTAAAATTTTGCAGTATAGTATTTATAAAACTCTGGAATATAATTTGACAAGATACTCAGTATTCTAAACAAAAACCATATCTGCGCATTCTGTTTATTATTCTGTAAATCATATGTACATATACATATAGTAATATGTATTTTTTCCCCAGATAACTGGCACAGGTGGACCTGTTGGAAGCAGTAATATTCAGGAACATCTTTTGCCTTTTGACCTATCAATATTTAAATCTCTTCATCAGATTCAGGTAAAAAGAGCTTTGTTTGTGGAGTACTTTTTGGAAATTGCTCTCGTGTACTCTAAAGGTTTTGTATTCTTCTGGACTGATTGGCACCTTGGGTCTTGTAGTGGTTCTGATCCTTCTATCCAGAAAGTCATGCTGAGGGACACTTGTTTAAAAGAAATTGTAAGGCTCCCCTAATCAATCAAAGTGACTATAAGCAACTTACATAAAATTTAACAGAACCTAACAAAAAGAATACAAAACTGCAGTACATAAATCAATAAGCAATAATAAAATGGCAATCCAAATAGAAATGACACTATCATGCAAGTGGGGGTTTAATAGTTACAACCCAAAGGCCTAGGGTAAAAAAAATCAGTTTTTGAAAGCTTAAAAGGCCACTGACCTTTAATGTCCAGAAATATTCTGCGTTGGGTCTGGGGTGGTAAATAATTACATGAAACTGCTGAGGAAACCCCTTCTGTTTTTGGAGTAGATTATTGCTCCTGAATACCAGTAAGCAGTCTGAATTTAATGACAAGCTGAGTAATGAGGAAGAAATTGAAGTTAAATCTAGGCAGATGGGCATTGAGGGATTGAGATTTAGCCTATTCTGGATGAGGTTGCGCTTTCCTTGAAAGAGGAGGGACACACCCTTGGAATGTACCCTGATCTTTAGCTGATAGTTGTGGGAAGGAAGGCATTTATAGCATTACTGCTAACTTGACTGTCGGGTTTGACAATAGCAGTTCACATATCATTTTATGTTTTGAGCATTGCAACACACTAGCAGGGCTAGGTCTGAAAAGAATCCAGAAATTCCATTGCAACAGCCTAGCTGCCAAATAATACTAGAGTGTGAATTGGCAGTTAGATGTTTTACTTATCAGAATTTAAGGATCTGGTGTTAAACATTTAAAGCCCTAAACAGCTTTGTGACTATTTGGAGGGGAATATTGTGAAACCTTCTGTTAGAAGCATTGAGGTCCCTGCCCTTTCAAAGGCCAGCACAACTCCAAGCCCCGTTCGTGTCCATGCCTGCATAGAAGGCATTTCCACAGGGTGACTACCAAAGTAGACTGCCTGGTGCAGGATTGCTTTTCTCTTGATAAAACTGGCCATTAAACTCTGTAGGGGGAGGCCCTGCTTTCAGAGGCATGGGAGAGCCTAAGCATGTATCATCCCTTTGCATGACTTATTTAGCATTTGGCATCCATTGTCTGTGCAAAAATATACTTCTCTAGTCAGGCCTTTGAACATCAATAGTTTGATTATTAGGTTTTCAGTTACTTGCGATTTTTGTTTTACTTTTTGCATTTTTAGGTTGACTTAAACTCTAAATTGTTTTGAGCGTATATTTTCAATGGAAAGATAATGTATAAATTATTTTTTTAAAAAACTGTTTAATCTAGTCACAGTTTTGCTGTTTTTAGTCCCTTTGGCGTTTCTCATCTTAATTTCCTGAGATTCTTGTAATTAGGGATGCCAGAAGCGGAGTATTGTGTGCATATTCTGTGGTTGCATTTTAGAACCCATCACATGGGTTCTAAGGTAGCATAGCATAACCCAGTGATGGCAAACCTTTTAGAGACTGAGTGCCCAAACTGCAACCCAAAACCCACTTATGCATCGTCGGTGCCGGGTGGGTGTGGCCCATTGGGTGGGCATGGCCCATTGGGTAGGCGTGGTTGCAGTGGTAACCGCAAACTGGGTGGGACTCAAAAGTTCAATCAATCAATTCCAACTTTGCAAGATCTTTTTTTTTCCCACAAAAAGTTGAAATTGACTGATTGATTGAACCTTTTTTTTTTGTACACCGGCGGCGGAGGCCTAAAGCAAAAAGGTTTTATAAAACCCAGCTGAAGGCCTAGGACTCGGGCGATGGCGCGCGTGCCCACAGAGAGGGCTCTGAGTGCCGCCTCTGGCACCCGTGCCATAGGTTCGCCACCACTGGCATAACCCATGCTAACTCCAAGTAGAAATCTGTTTATAGCAGGGAGTCTGTGGAGGCCATTTTGCCTGTTTCTCTTTATTCTTGAATCCCTGCGTAAAGCAACTCTTTGAGGGATCCCCCAAGCACTGAAACATTTTTCATAAAGGTTGTTTCATGTTTTTGTAAGGAGAAAGAGTTCTCCTGTTTATAGTTGTGCATGGCTATTTTCAGATTGCTGTATTAATTACACCTCCAGAAGCTGATTTCAGTATTAATCAATGTTGGGAACTATAATTGGCCTTCTTGACTTTTTTTGCATTTACAGTATTCTCCTGAAGAAAACTTTTTAATAAAATACTGCAAAAACTTTATTATTTTTTTTAATAAGCAAATAAGTAAAATTTCATGTGAAACAGTTTCATGTTTTCTTTTATTGCTGTTTCATTTTCTTTACTATTGCTTTTTCAAAATAGATAAATCACTGTGGTGCAAAACTTATTAATGGGCTGATATCTTCAAAGCACACTCTAGCAACACTAAGTGTACAATTCTCAGCAACATCCATGATGGTAAGATTCAAATGTGCTATTATGATTATAACTTGTTAAAAGCTGTATTTAAATCATAAAAATTATTCTTTTTTCATTCAGCAGCTCAGTTTTTGTATATTTGATGTTTTACTATATACATTTAAATAATATTCTTTCATCTCTATTGATATTACTGATTTTTTTTAGTAATTTTTTTATGGTATGTCTTATTTAGAATATTTAGCACTAAATTCTAAGAATACACAGATACACACATATGCACACATGTGCATATGTGTGTATCTATGCGTGTGTATTCTTAGAATTTAGTGTTAAACATTCTAAATAAGACATATCCATAAAATAAAGAGTATGTTTGCAAAGGATAGTAATCTTAATTTCTTATCCAGATTTTAAATTTGTTTAGAAGTTAACAATTTTTGTCAAATAATGACTTACTAATCAGAAATCTCTATTCTCTCCCCCTCATATTAATTTTTTTTTCAATTTGTGGTTTGATCAGGAGGTCCTAGTACCTGAGGCCTATGAATTTGACCAGTGGGAGCCAGAAGGCGCATCTTCAAATCCTGTGACAGCAGTTATTCCAACTTGGAGAACATTAACAACTTTAGATATGAGTCATAATAGTATAGCTCAAATTGACAATTCAGTGGTAAGAGTTCATAACAAATATTTCAGAACAGTTTCATAAGAGACAGAGAAGATATCTCTTCTGCTCATAGTGATATAATCAGTACTTTTAATACTTGTTCTAGCTTGCAGAAGACTTGATAATTACATTGAATGTTACAGAATGGTGATAGCTTTTAACTGTAAAGAAGTCCACTCTTGTACAAAATCTCTTGAAATTTCTTCCTGGGCTATTGCTTGAAAAAAATAGTTCTAAAATTCTTAAGGGTTCACATTATTAGGGATTAATTGTTTTGGATCAAGATTGATAACTTCTAATTGGACTGAAGGCTTACTATTTTTTTATTTTAGAAATTAATGCCGAAGATTGAATTTCTGGATTTAAGCCACAATGATGTACCACTAGTGGAAAATTTACAGGTTTGCTTATAATCTGTCTTAATGATGTTGTTTGTGTTTTTTGTTTTTTTAATCTAGCTGGTTGTTCCTTGCTTTTATTTCTCATAACAATGCCTATTTTCTAGGACTTCCAGATTGTTGTCATATTTTCAGGGAAACATGGTATCAGGGTGTTCAGCCTGGCCAGGTGCCCCATCCCCCCTGGCACGAGCACAAGAGGCAACAAGTGTGTGGGGGCCAATGGTGTCTGGCAGCAGCCACAGCCAACTGGTCTCTTGGCTGGCATACTTGGGCTGTGCAGCCCATGTAGCGCAGGTGAGTTGATTACCTGTCCAAGCAGCAGGCGGAGGCAGACGTGCAGGGGGGAGGCAGGCGATCCCAACACATTGCACGGTTACTTGGCTCGCAGGAAGCTCACACGGCGGCACCGGCAGCAGGTGGAGGCAGAGGCACGGGGAGGAGGCAGATGATCCCGATGCACCACACGGCCGCTTGACCTGGCATGGCTGCCGGCAAGCCGAGAGACAGTGGGACGGAGTGGGCAGCATGTCGGGATTGCCTGCCTCCCCCATACCTCTGCCTCCGCCTGCTGCTAGTGCCGCCATGCGAGCCTCCCATGAGCTAGGCGGTTGCACAGTGCGTCTGAATTGCCTGCCTCCTCCCCTCCCGTTTCTCTGCCTCTTGTCTGCTGCTGGTGCCATTGCGCAAACCTCCCGTGAGCCAGGTGGCTACGCAGCATGTCCAGATCTCCTGCCTCCCCTCTGTACCTCTGCTTGAGGGCTGGCCTGGTGGTTGCACAACACTACTGCCAGACACCGTCAACCCCCGTGCGCTCGCCACCTCCTGTGCTGGCCATGCCCACCCCCCAGCTTATTTTTGGGATAGGGCTTATATTAGGCACGTGCTAAAAAATTAGGCTAGAGCTTATTTTCTGGGTGGGTCTTATTTTCAGGAAAACACGGTAGTATAACATATCCTTTGCCAATAGCATGCATTCTCTTAATTTTTTTCCATTTCAACTCTTTGAGATTACTATTTTTAATGCATGCAATCCCTTAAGCAATATTAGATGGTAATTTGAGCCGGATTGCCTGTCCTCTGCTTTAGTAATACAGTGATACCTTGATTCTCATCGTTAATTGGTTCCAGGAAGTGCAATGAGTACCAAAAATGATGAGTACCAATTTATTCTCATAAGGAATAATGTAATTAGTCACAAGGCAGCTGACATTGACAAGTTCTAGTTTGTGCATGTGCATTGGGTACCAAAAAATTGTGAGTACCGGGACAAAATTTTCACGTCAAAATGCATTGAGTACCAAATTCAATGCGTTTCAAAGCAGTTGACTCCCAAGGTACCACTGTATGCTGCACTTCAGATAGCAATAGCACTTAGACTTATATACCACTCCATAGTGCTTTACAGCACTCTCTGCGTGGTTTGCAATGTCAGCATATTGTCACCAACACTAATTGAAAAAGTAATTTGATTATGAAGTGCAGCCTATCCCATGTCTGTTAGCTCTTGGGAGGTTTTCAGCCTATCCCATGTCTATTAATTCAGCATGGGAAGTCTTCAGCATCGTTTTTAAAGTATTGCTGATGGTTCAGCAGACTTTTGACTATATTGTGTATAGTTCAGGGAATATAAAATAAATGTTACATTCACCATTCTTGGAGTTTCTATTTGGTAGTTTTTGTAGAAATGTTTATTCTTCATATAAGACGTGTAATGACTACAGTCAATTTTTTCCCTCCATTCTTCTATTTTTACTCTCTCTGTTCCATTAATCTGTTCTGGAGGATTCTTTATACCAGGGGTAGTCAACCTTGGCTCTTTTATGACTCGTGGACTTAGCTAAGCTGGCTCAGGAATTCTGGGAGTTGAAGTCCACGAGTCATAAAAGAGCCAAGGTTGACTACCCCTGCTTTATACCCTTGAAGCATATTAAAGTGATACTTTGGAGCAAGAACTAGAATTACATTTTCCAATAACTGATCTGCCAGGGGAAGACCAAATTGGATATGACCTAAAGTAGGGAAACCAGTGTTTAGGAGGGATTGCGGCCACAATTAGGCTTCAAAATAACTGGATAAAGGGGATATCATGTGATGCTGTAATGTTACCAAAAGGTAGTGCTATTTTTAGGCTGACTTTGGGTAGAAAAAGAGTGAGAAGCCTCTGGGAAGCAAAATATTCTTTTCTCCACGCCCTTAGCTTGCTTTCACAACTCTCCTAAAATAGTTTAAAATTATGTCACCTGCCAAATTATGTTAGGATGATCTGGGGATGCTGGTGAGTCACTTGAAGCATACATGATTCAGTGTGTCACTCCCAACCTAAAAGTAATTATTGGAATTCAGGACCAAAACTTCATCTGAGTTCAATTTAAGGATCTAATAGAGTTTCTCAAACTTGGTGACTTTAAGATCGGTGGGAGCTGAAGTCCAACATCTTAAAGTTGCCAAGGTTGAGAACACTGATCTACAGTAGTAGGATGACATGTTTTGTATTAGAAATGCTCAAGGGCTTAACTACTATGTGAAAATCACTATCTTGCAAAGCCTTAGTTAGTCAGTAAAATGTGTGGAACAGATATTAATACGGGATTTGTTGAGTTTAAATTATTTTTATTATATGTGGAAAGATGAAAATGGAAAACCCATTCTAAACAAACAAGTCTTACATAAGTGCTGTATTCATGTTTTGTTACATAAATAAATTGTTAACATTTAAGTCACTTTATGTCAGAGTGGGAAACTAAAAGAAAATTAAACATGCAGTCTGGTGTCAGCAGCTCAGATATCTCACCTGCGATTCCTATTGGTAAAATATTTGTTTAAACATAGAAATGGGGAGCTCTTCAGGTTATTCTCTAATTGATGGAAAATAAGTATCTTTCAAACTTCATAGTACCAGGTTTTTGCAATTGTGAAAGTTCACAATATACATTTTCAATATTGACTTATAAATCAATGACATGGAATTGAAAAGCACAGAAACTATATAGAAGAGAAACATAAAATAGAATGATGTGAACCTCTGGTGCATTTTGCATACCACATCTTTAAGCAATTAGCTGAGCTCATCCATTTTTTTCTGAATAAGGGGAATTGTTGTTGAATTAATACTTCAAAGTCTGTGTAATATATAGCATAACCTGTTTATGTATTCACTTGTAGCATCTCTACAATCTTATTCACCTGGATCTCTCCTACAATAAACTTTCAACGTTAGAAGGAATTCATACAAAAATTGGAAATATCAAAACACTGAATTTAGCAGGGAATCACCTGGATAGACTTTCCGGACTCAACAAACTCTATTCTTTAGTTAACCTGGATCTTAGTAACAATAAAGTGGATCAGGTACTGGGAGAATTATGTATTTGTTTACTCAGAACTCGTCATGCCATACTCGGTGTGTCTAGGATTCCAAGCTTCAATCTGCTAAGGGAATAATTACACTTCAGCTAATATTCTTAGTTAATTACGCTTTCAATTAATATTCTTAGAAGTCTGTTTGAAATGTACTTGTTAGAATCGGCTTCTATTGCATCATTTTTATCTGGTTTCTGGTTTAGAATGCTACCTTTTTGGCTTCTCTTTTTAAAAAGGAAATGTTTTAACTCTTATATATAGCAGAAATATTTTTTTTTCATTAAGCCTTTGCTTAAAATCTCATAGAGCAATTGGTCTCCTTTTCAACCATTCTTCTAGTTTACCTAGATACTCATGGTAATAAATTTATATTTGGAGACTTATTGGGGGAGGAATGGAGCAAGCAGTTTTTTTCTACCCTAGATATGGGTTTATTAACTTCAGAAGAGAGGGCTTAATGCATACTTCCTAGAGCCATCACATTAAAGAAAGAAATATATCAAATATGGCAGAAGGAAATCAGTAAAAAATGTAGATTTCAGTTGTAATATCAAAATATTTGACCATGTTTATGGATGCTTGAAATAGATGCCTCTATTGTTTCAGATTGATGAAATAAGGAATATAGGAGGCCTTCCATGCTTGGAAAAGCTTATGTTATCCAACAATCCTTTGAGTATTATTCCTGATTATAGGACCAAAGTTCTAGCTCAGTTTGGTGACAGAGCCTCAGAGGTAAATCTTCAAAGACTGGTTCATCTTCTAACTTTTGACTTGAATATGATGTATGATGTATAAACATCATTGCCTGGGAGCAGCAATGTAATTCATAAAATGAGAGGGTTTACAGTGTTTGAGAAATGTCTTAGGCTTGTGGCATCACACATAATTTTTTCTGAATCTGTGTAATGAAGCTTGTATATGCAAACTGTTCCTTTGACAGTTTGAACTAGATTATGTAGCCATAGTTGAATTTAGACATCCACTTGGAAAGATTTATTTTTTTTCCTTTTACTACAGTGCATATTTTCAGCCATCTAATAAATAATACAGCTGTTCATCTGTGTTAAACAATTAGAAATATTTGTATCTAGTAATTGTGTTTTATTTTAAATTATTATTCCCAAATATTTAAAAAGATCCAGACAATAAATGCCATTTACATATTTCTATTTTCAAAAACAAAAAAAATCACAGAAGCCTAATCAATAGGCAATATGTTAGATCTACTCAAATTACTTTCTATCCAGTAAACTTGCTATGTTGTTGCACAGACTATGAACTTAGGTAAAGAGCTTTTGTAATTCCTAACGAGACCCAAAGTAGCATCTGCATAAAATGACAACTTGTGTTGAATTCTAGATAACCTTTATATTTTGAATGTCTCTATTTTATCTGATAAAACAAGCCAGAGGTTTTTAATCCAATATACTATAAGAGGACATGTTTGACAAGTTCCCTGTTGCATTGTAAATGAAAAATGAATTGTCAAAATCAATATTCTTCATGACTTGTACATACTTTGGGAGAGATGCCCATGCTAATTCTACTTAGATGTTTTATACAAATTGATAATTTAATGATTAAATTTCTGTGCCGTGATCACATTCCTAGGTCTACTTTCTAAACCGTGACTCCCATTTGTATTTTAACGGAAGGCTAACTTGTAGACATTCAGTTGAATATCTCTGCATATTTCTTGTCGATGTTGGAATGAAATGAGATTAAAAATATACTACTGTGAAAAACTGTTTCCAACCTTAAACATTTTGGCAAGTACAGGTAGTCCTTGACTTACAACAGTTCATTTAGTGACCATTCAAAGTTACAGCAGCACTGAAAAAAGTGACTTAGGACCTTTTCTCACACTTACGAACCTTGTAGCATCTCCATGGTCTCATGATCAAAATTAAAATGCATGGCAACTGGCATGTATTAATGATGGTTGCAATATCCAAGGTCACCTTTTGTGACCTTCTGACAAGAAAAATTAATGGGGAAACCAGATTCACTTAACAACCATGTTGTAAACTTAATGTCATGATTCCGATAGATGAAACCCATCAAAAGAACTTCGAGGCAAAATTCTTCCTTAAAGAACATTTATTCGGGAAACAAAATATAGGCACTACATAGTTGAACCCAGAAACTAAATTCCCTTCCCCCTGATACAAAGTAACAAAGTACAATTCCCACCCTCAATAAACTGTCATAAAACACATCCCCCAATTAGCTTCTCGGGCTTTCTCCTCAGCTCCTCAGCCCACCAAAACGTTATCAGCTCGTCCTTGAGTTCCCAGGCAGCATTATTATTATTATGGCTAATTGAGCTTACATCCAACCCCCACCCCCGCTGCACTTGATTTCTAAAAGTAAGAAAAGCATGTTAAAGGAGAAGAGAAAATGGCTGCATTTTCATCAGTTCTTAGAACAGGAACATCCAATGTTAGCAGCGTTGACACTTAACTGCAGTGATTCACTTAACAACTGTGGCAAAAAACGTAAAATGGGGCAAAATTCACTTAACAAATGTCTAATTTAGCAATATAAATTTTAGGATGTAACTCAATTGTGGATGTAAGTCAAAGATTACCTGTATTTGGTTTTTACTGTTTTAGGAATCACACTCTTAATTGGAAAATATAGCTAAATTTGTTTGGATATTCCTAAATAAGAAATTCAAACTTGAGTTTTTCTCACATGAAAAATAAACTCTCTTAAATGATTCTTACTTTAAAAAGTTGGGTGAAGAGTTTTTTTTAATGAAATATGGGCTGAAAATGGGGATAATCATAGGCCGACTTATTGTTAAATGTATCTTCAAGACTTTATAAGCTCCAAAAGGAATATAGCCTACCAAAAACTGATAAATGGCAATATACATTCAAATAAAACATTTGTTACATTCTAAATTTGGATCAGAGATACTGATGGCCTCAGTAATTACATTAATTTTAAGTATATTAAGCAAAGTTACTTTAAATGTTAAGAACTGAAGAATCTGACCAACAAATGTAGATAATTTACAAAAGATTTGGAAATAAAGAACACCCAATTCTTACGATCTGATGTTTTAATAAAAATATTTTACAATCTTAAGATGATACTAATATAGTAAAAATTCTGTTCTGGGTCTATTCTGTACCATCAAGGTTGTTAAAAGGAGCTGGTTATTTTTCTGCATGGTAAATATATAGGTATGGTTTGGTCATGATTTTCTGATTGAATTGTATTAATATGATTAAGATTTTGATTATAGAGTAAGATTTAAAGCTATTGTTAAATTATATGCCTAAAATTTTGAAATTTATGTTATTTATGAAGGTCTTTTGATCTCTGTCATGGCTGGGTTGTGACAAAAATAATTTGGGTTATTTATTTCCTTTTCCTTTTTGTACTTTATGAATCTTGTATCTTTTTTTTCTGTCAAAGCGTTAAACCTATTTTTAAAACAGGAAGACCTCCTTAATTTCTATTGCATTTTTTCTGGTTGATCTACTTCAATTTGTCTCTTTAGTTGAGGATTAATTTGGTTTCTTGATATCCTTCAGGTTTGTTTGGATAATACCACAACCACTGAAAAAGAACTTGACACTGTTGAAGTGTTGAAAGCTATACAAAAAGCAAAAGATGTAAAATACAAAATGAGTAATTCCGATAAGAAGGTGAGACATTATATGAATAGATGTATGATCACTTTAACTGTCATCTCCTCTAAAATATAACACTAAACCATGGGTAGGCAACCTTGGCTCTTTTATGACTCGTGGACTTCAACTCCCAGAATTCCTGAGCCAGCCATGCTGGCTCAGGAATTCTGGGAGTTGAAGTCCACGAGTCATAAAAGAGCCAAGGTTGCCTACCCCTGCACTAAACCATATTTACAATTTTTGAGGTTAGCCTCTTTCCCCAAAACTGAGATTTTATTAGCCTACCATACTCACAAGAAGAAATTAATTATCCTTTTATATGTCATTTGAACAAACCCTAAACTGTAATTAAGATTAGTCACATTTGTCCATGCTGGACTAGGTCACTAAACTATAAGAGAAAAATGAAATAAAAACTTCTGAGTTCCTCCCAGGCACAATAGAAGAGGCAGATGAGATATGAGACAACCAAGGTTTATTATTATATCAAACAGTAATTTAACTTTATGTAATAGTATTAATAAATGCTTGTTTGTTTATTAAATTGATGTGCCACCCATCTCATCAGTTTTAAAAAAAAATTATAACATAATAGAGGTAGTGCTTGCTCCGTTGGGAGCAGCAAATCCATTGCTGAGCGATGCAGTCATTAAGCAAGACATCATGTGACAGCAACAGACTTACAATATCGCTTCCTATTTTGTTGCTAAATGATTCATTGTGCCTTTAAGTAAGGAATCACATGACTGACTTGCAATTTTACTGCCAGCTTTTCCATTGACTGTTGGAAGCTGATTGTGAAACATGCCAGTGATGATTACATGACAGTAGGATGCTGCAACAATCATAAACACCCACCCACCTAAATCTTGATCACAAGACTGGGGATGCTGTCATGCTTGTAAGTGTGAGGACCGATCACAAAGTTAGCGCCATTGTAACTTTGAATAGTTGCTAAACAGGGCAATCGTTAAGTGAAAACTACCTGTATTAAATCACTCCAAAGCACTCTATATCCATGGCAATAGCAATAGCACTTAGACTTATGTACTTCCCCATATTGCTTTATAGCACTGTCTGGGTGGTTTACAATGGCAGGATACTGCCCCCAACAATGTCCATACATTATTATTTGCTTGTATGTCAGTTCTTCTTGATAGGGTGACTTTGTAACCTTTCTTCATAGCCCTTCTGGGTTTTTTTTTCCCTTCTCAGATCCCTGAAGATTCCAAGCTTTCTGCTACCAGTTCAAAATCAAACTGCTCTTCTCTTTCTGTTCATCCTTCCTCTCCTTCTCTGCCACGTCCTGTCAGCTCCAGTCAAGGTAATCATGTATGTATCATGCTGCTAGGCTGGGCCTCTTGGTTCTGCCTTTGTAGGCTGCATTGATATACATGAATTTAACCATATAGAAATAGGATTTGGCAACCACAGTAGAAAAAACATTTCTATGCCAATTTTGTAGCTTTCAGTGCTAATAATATTTAATATATATATAAACAGTAGGACAAACGAACAGTTATTTTACTATGGAAGTTTTAATTTGTTAATATAAACTGCTATTGCTAGCTGCCTGGAATCTGAGCAGATTATAGTGATATACAAGTCAAACAAATATGTTGCTGTGTTCATTTTTATACATTTTTATTTATCTGCATAAAATGGGAAAGAATCAGAGCCCTTGCTCTTCTCATTTTGATTTTTTGCTTCCTTTATTTTACTATTTAGCTATATAGCTACATTACAATTCTTCAAAGTGTATTGCCAGAGTTATAAATTTAAATTTATAAATTTAAGACTGTGAAGTACCTTGAAACAGTAGCTACAGAAAAGAAGCTAAATGAACTGTATTAAATAAACTAAAGTGGTGATATTTGCGTAGCTGTTTGCCAAACATTTAAAATGGGGTTACTGCATATGTGACATCCACAAATTAAATGTGGATTTCTGGACTAATAGTGCCACTAAGGATGGAACTTGGGGTCAAAGCTGAGACTCTGAGTATGATAGTCTTCAGTGATTAATTAGTAAATAGAAATAATGGAGGAAGTGACAAAGAGGCCCAGTGTCGACTACTGAGCTAACATGGAGCAAATCAAGGCCCAGTGAGATTAATGTTGTTTGCTGAAGCATTCTTTATTTTTCTTCTTATTTGAAACAAAATTATAATTAGAGAACATCTGTAGGGCAGTATTCTCAGTAACATATATGGCTATCTCTAAAGCATTCTCTGCTTTCCCACTCCCCACCCCACCTCACAAAATACTTTAGCTAACTGCAACAGTATTATCTATTACTCTATTTGTACAACGAGTATTACTAGCAGATAAAATATTTGCAAATTGGAATTATCCAGGATCTTTTTGGGGAAAGTATATGAGGTTGCATTTCATCTGCCAAATCCCAAGCTTTTTTCAATAATAATTTGTTTCAGTAGGGTAGCATTGTTATGATAGTACTCTACTGATCCCAAAATATAAGGCTGACTACTATTCCTTGCTATTTCATAGTTTCAGTTTTTGCTTTCTGTAAGCTACCAATAAGATGTCATTTCTCCCAAAGCTCATATGCTTTTCCAAATGTCAGAATGACCAAAATTTAGTAGTATGTTAATGAACGCATGGATATACATTTCTAAGACTATATATTCTTGGAGACTATGAACTATGGTACTATGTACCCAGGCAGTGTATGAGGGTGAAGGCTTGTTCTCCGAGCTTGTGGGTTGGTTTCCGAATTTTTTGTTACCAGGCTGGATAACATCTTCAGCAGAGTTTAGGGAATGTCTGTGTTAGGTTAATAACCTAAATGCCGCTGAAGGTGTTACTTACCCTAGTAACGAAACGTTCGGAAACCAACCCACAAGCTTGGAGAACGAACCTTCACCCTCGTCCTACACCCAAGCTACAGATATTCGCCACTATTGCAAACCATGCACTGTATGTCTGGGTTTCTGATTTCTGACTTCTCTAATCTGGATTAGAAGCTTTGAAAACTGCTGATTTGTTGGGATAAATTATTTAAAAAAGCACTGAGATAGGGGCCGTTCAATTCTGTTTTATTTCATAAATGACGACAAGAATGTTTTTAACGACACCATCTGTTTCCCCAAATATTAATCATATCAGTTGTCACTGACTTATTTTTTTTAAAAAAATGATCCTAGATTTAAATATTTTTACAGGAAACAGAAAATAGTACAAAAAATAAGTTAACTTCCTGTTATCTTCAGTTTTTGCAAGAATAGATTCTTCTTCTTTTTAGATTATTATCTAAAAAGATTATTATTCTTTTTAATCAATATCTCTGTGGAATAGATTATAGCAGAGGTCCCCAACCCCTGGTCCATGGACCGGTACTGGGCCGCAGCATGCCAGCAGCCGGTCCGCACAAACAAGCAAAGCCCCATTCACGGGATGCAGGCAGCCCACAAAACCATGCACCTTCCGGTCCACAGAAAAACCTTTCTCCACAGAACCGGTCCCTGATGCCCAAAAGGTTGAGGACCTCTGGACTATAGTATATAAATAATACAGTATGTAATACAATAATAATACAATACATTTTCAACTTCTTAAAATTTGATTGTGTATTTTTGTTTTGTATTAATAAAGAGACAGATATACAAACTGTACAAACTTCCTATTAATAATTGAAATGCTAACATATTCATACATAAATTCTTACATATATATCTTTTTAGAATAAGAGATAACAGATTATATTTGTATTAATATATTTATATGTTTGCGCTGCAGTCCTAAACATATTAGGAATATACTCTCCTAAACAAAGATACTATATTCCTAATTAATAGCCACAGAATTATGCTGCTGCTGTTGGAAGATCTCAGTTCATGGGCAGCAAGAATATTGTAAAGGAATACAGTAAAAATATCAATGCTGTATTCTTATTATGCTGCATTTTTACAGAGCCTGGGAGGATCTCTTTTGTGCTAGTAGATACATTAACGTATTGCATGTTTTATATTCTATTACTATGTTGTGAGCCACCCAGAGTTATTGTATATAAGATGGGTAGCCATATAGGTCTTTTAAATAAATACATATTCTGCATAGAGGCTGAATCTTCTCTGGATAAAGCCTAACATAGTGGGGATGTCAACTCTACAACAAACCTGGCTACAGCCATTTTCTTCGTTCTAAGTTGCCACAAGATTGGGTGGGGGATGGAGGATTTCTACTAGTCTAAACATTTTACTGTCCCTTGGGAACCAAGGTAATTTCTGTCAGTCAGATAGGTGCTGGAGCATTTAGTTAGAAAGCCCGCCAAACTCTTCTATTGGGGAACGTAGCCAGTTGCATAGCACTGGGGTGGGAAGTTTAACTTTGTAATATTGTTGCTCTCTGAAGGAAACTTGGTTTCAAGCCTCGGAGTTCTGATTTGTTTGGTCTTGTCTATCGGAACCTTGACATTGGACCTGTGATCCACAGGATCTTAAGTCTCTTGTTTCTTACAAAATTTCCCTAGGAAAAAAAAATGCAATCTCAAAGCTGGTATAATGAATTATTTCTCATTAAAGGCAATAAGCATGTTTTAAAAAGGTGAGATACTGCCCTGTCATCTTGGCCAATAGCTATGGTTTAAAAAGTTACACTTTCTCCAGCACAGTCTTCCCTCCTTTCTCATCATTTATGCAAGCTCTTGTAGGAGTATTTTGACAGTATCTTGTGCATGCTGTGAAGTGTACGTACTTCTGCCATGAACGGTTTCCACTTTGCTTCTCCAGTCAACTCGATAATGGGAACGAGAGGTCAGCAAATTAGATGCCTCCCTCATTTGACAGTGCATTAGAGGACATTCTTCAAATGACTGAGTATGGAATAATACATGCTTCCACACTTCACATATTCCAAATTATATGAAAGACTTTCAAATATAAGTTGCTTAAATTGTTTCAGAGGAGGGTGTAAATTTATATTTACATATTTGTTGTACAAATAAAGTAGTTTGGGTGGAGAAAATAGATTGTTTACAGGGTAAATTAAGTTGGGATGTTAACTCTGCTGCAAAGTGCATATTATCTGTTTGACAGCATTTTCCACAGCCTTTACCGTTGGAGCAACTTAAAATATAGGATGAATCAAAAAGTACATTTATAAATAAAATATGCCATTGTTAATAAGTAAACATGCTTCTGTGAAATAGAACATAGTTTGGTATATTTTCTGTGTGTGTATGAATGTATGTATTTGTTTAACATTAACACTGCTTCTGTTTTGTAGAAATAACATACAAGAAAACAGCCCTAGTCAGCAGTTTCTCATCAAGTAGTTTGACTCCTGAAAGCCATACAGTTACCCAAAGATGCCCTGAAACACCAGATTCGTGTAGTGCAAGTCAGGTAATGGCATGTTCAGTTGAAAGTTACTTTTAAGTTACTTTTAAGATGGGTTTAAGTTTCTTGAACTGGTTTTCCTTAGTCTTGCCAAACTAAAGATCAATGAAAGGATTCTGTAAAATAACTTCTAGGTAGAGGAGATAATTTTCTTTATAGAGCATAGACTTTCTATATATTGAATTTGTGACCATTTTGTATCATGGTTAAAAATACAGATAGTCTTCATTTAGAGCACAGTTGGGACCGGCAACTCAGTTGTGAAACAAAGCAGTTGCTATGTAAAACAGCAACTGTGCTTATAATAATTATTCATAAAATTTCTATGCTGCCTGACTCCCGACAATTCTGGGTGACTTATAATTATGAAAGCATTTAAAACAGTAGGAAAATACGTACACACAGCACAAGACAGAAGAATAATGACAGCAAAGATAATAAACTTGGAAGGGAACAGAAAGATCAGTTATTTTCTCCAAAGGTCTAAGAGAAGAGCTACCCTTCAAAAGAGCTGCCTGTATTGGAAATATGACATGAGGATCCTGTACTGCATGCATCTCCTTAAAATGCTGAACCAAAGAGCCAAACCCATGTGTAAATACCTCCTAAACATCCAAAATAATTCATTGTAGCAAATACTGACTCTCCTAGTAATAATGATTAATAAGTAATGCTTATTAATCATTTTAGTAAAAAGTTAAAAGGATGATAAAAGAACTATATCTGACACCATTAACCATCATCAAGCAATTTCATATAATTATTTTGTGAATAGGACCACACAGTGAGGGAAAAAATTATTTTATCCCCTGGTAATTTTGTTTGCCCTCTGACAAAGAAATGATCAGTCTATAATTTTAATGGTAGGTGTATTTTAACAGTGAGAGACAGAATAATAACAAAAATATCCAGAAAAACGCATTTTAAAAAAGTTATAAATTGATTTGCATTTTAATGAGTGAAATAAGTATTTGATCCCCTATCAACCAGCAAAATTTCTGGTGTCTTTTATACAGATAAACGAGCTGAGTTTAAGACCACTCTCTTAAATGGAGTGTTCCTAATCTCAGCTCATTACCTGTATAAAAGACACCTGTCCACAGAAGCAATCAATCAACCAGATTCCAAACTCTCCACCATGACCAAGACCAAAGAGCTGTCCAAGGATGTCAGGGACAAGATTGTAGACCTAGACAAGGCTGGAATGGGGTAGAAGACTATCACCAAGCAGCTTGGTGAGAAGGTGACAACAGTTGGTGCGATTATTCGCAAATGGAACAAACAGAAAATAACTTCAATCTCCCTCAGTCTGGGGCTCCATGCAAGATCTCACCTCGTAGAGTTTCAATGATCATGAGAACGGTGAGGAATCAGCCCAGAACTACACGGGAGGATCTTGTCAATGATCTCAAGGCAGCAACAAAAGAGTGGCTCAAGAAGAAGCACATTAAGGTCCTGGAGTGGTCTAGCCAGTCTCCAGACCTTAATCCCATAGAAAATCTGTGGAGAGAGCTGAACGTTTGAGTTGCCAAACAGCCTCGTAACCTTAATGACTTGGAGAGGATCTGCAAAGAGTAGTGGGACAAAATCCCTCCTGAGATGTGTGCAAACCTGGTGGCCAACTACAAGAAACATCTGACCTCTGTGATTGCCAACAAGGGTTTTGCCACCAAACGCTAAGACGTGTTTTGCAAAGGGGTCAAATACTTATTTCACTCATTCAAATTTATAACTTTTTTGAAATGCGGTTTTCTGGATTTTTGTTGTTGTTATACTGTCTCTCGCTGTTAACATAAACCTATCATGATCGTTTCTTTGTCACTGAGCAAACATACAAAATCAGCAGGAGATCAAATAATTTTTTCCCTCACTGTATATATTATTCAATGAGTTATGCATACGTTTATTCAAAAATGCATTGTATCATATTTAGCCTTTTCTCTCCCCCCACCTTTTCTTTGAAGGTACCTGCTCCAGATTTGGACCTTTCTGATGAAAGCACACATCGCATGTGGTGAGACTGCAGTTTCAGTTTGATATTCTCTTCTATCTGATGAACTCAGACATAGTATAAAAATGCTTTTTGCTGCCTGATCCTTTGAAGAATAAAAAACAAAAGCAAAAACTTCATGGAATATCTGCCTGAGGCGTAGCTTTTGCATTACTATAGAAACCTGGGCAAATAGAGATCCATAAGGCTTCTGGGTTAATGCGCTTTATGCTTGCAGTTGCATTAGATCTATGCCATATGGTTCAGTTGTTGAGAAAGTTTTTGAAACTTAAGTCAATATTTTAAATTAGGTTACTATAGTTTGCTCCTTTCTGTCTGTCTGTCTTTCTTTCTTTTTAAAGCTTGGGATATCCAGAAGAAGGACCCGATTCCTTGCCTGATCCTCTTAATACTGTTACTCTGCCTTTCACTTGTATGTCATACGCTACCACAAATCAGGACTTTGTGCAACATCTCTCTACCTTGATTGCAGAGGCCGTGGGACATGTGCCCCTCTTTTCAGTGGAAACTCAGAACACGGGAGATCTTTTGAGTGATTCCAGAGTTACAGAAACTGAAGATGGCTACTTTGAAATGGGACTTCATGAAGGATATCAGATCTCTAAAGTGGCTCCCACTTCAAGTGGTGTGCAGACGACCCAAGCAAAACAGGATACTATAATCAAAATCCTCTGGAGTTTTTGCATTCAGGTTCATAAAGGACTCAGGCAGTTTGCTTCCTGTTTTGTTTTGGCTAGTAATGTGATGGCTGTATTTGAAATTGTTCAAGATTCCAAAGGAAATTGCCAGCATATACTTTCTGCTTTGAAAGTTGTACTTTGCTTTCCATACTCTGACCTCAGTGAATTTGGTTTTTTAATACCAGAAATATGTTTGATGCTCAACGTAAACAATGGCGATACCTGCTTGTTTGTTGTGTCAGACACTCAGAATCTGCAAGATTTCTATTCCTGTTTACACCAGTTTCGCGTTCAGCACTATAAGCCTGCTTTAGCTGGTTCTGTACTGTATTGTGGCAAAGCTAATTTGCAAGAGTTTGTCTACCAGCTGATGGGGTTTTATCATATTTCATCTGAGAACACAGAGATAAAAGGTTGTTTCCCAGTTTATCTCTTCTGTCATAATAAGGCTGATGGTCAAAAGGAACTATGTTTGCCAGAACTGGGCAATGATGACCAAACCTGTTCCAAGCATTGTGGTTGTTCTGCATTTTACTCTGCGATTCATAAATCAGCTGGAGAGAGCCATTGTATGCTGCACCCTTGTTGGATATTTCTCACACCTCACCACCTTCATATAGTTAAAGTTGATTTTAATATACTGCCAGGTAAATTCATGGATTCGGAAAATGCCAGGAACATTTTCAAACTGAACAGAATTCCACTGGCTTCTGTTCTTTTGCATCCCACGTGTTTTTCAGTTCAGCAAGAAGGTTCATTTTCAGATGGATATGTCCTGGAATTGATAATTGGCTACAGATTTGTCACAGCAATATTTGTCCTACCTCACGAGAAATTCCATTTTCTGAGAATATATAGTTTTCTGAGGACACTTTTGCAAGATGTCAAGACCATAATTATTTTCAAAGATGCCAATCATGTAGAATCGGTCAGAAACTCTTCTACGGACTGTTTAAGGCATGGCCCAACTACAAGGTAGGTATATGCATTTTTAAATTAACTATTTAAAACCTGAGAGTCAGTCAAATGTACTAGTTAAAGGTACTGGACTGGAAACCACAAAACTCTGAATTTTAGTCCTGCCTTATGTTCAAAGCCAACTGAGTGGCTTTGGGCCATTTATTCTCTTTCAGCCCTCAGAATAGGACAATAGCTTAACAACAAAATTGTTGCCAGGAGTCAAGCCTGACTTGAAGGTATAAGTATATTCAAAACAAAGGAATAATGAGAGTTATTTGAGTCAAAACAGTAGGTAGGATATATATTTTGAACAATGATTCGTGACTTATATTAAGTTGTCAAATATTTAAAAATAGTTTTGGTAAAGAGTTCTAATATCTATAAAGTTTATAAAAATTGTTCTATGCAAAATAAACTGATAGTTTGAAAGCCATGCTATTCTATGAAAGAGTAATAAGATGGAATGCTTATAATGCATCAATACTTGGATTTTATTTTTGTTTCTCTCTGATAATATGCATTAATCTGTTTTTCCAGCTTTTGCAAGCCTCGTTTGCCATTCTCATCTTTGTACCCATCTGAATTTCTGATGCAAAGAATTACCGATGAGAACCAGATACCTATGCACCTTTCAGTCTCTCCATCTCTTCAATATGTAGCTGGGCTAAAAGAAAAACACATTATGGATTTTTTCCATAACAGCATTGCTGAGGTATTAGTACACAAAAATAAGAGATTCCAGAAGAGAAGCTGTGCTAGTCTGTTTTAATGGCATTTGAAGATCAGCAAAATGCCCAGGGGCATCCTGAAGAATCACACATTTACTGAGGCATTAATGTTTGTAGGAGAATGGGTTCAAGATATTTTTTTTTCTTCTTTTCATCCAGTTGTAGCGTTTGTTGGGACGGTACAGATGGGAATACAGTGTTAATATTGCTATTATTGCCACTTTATAAGTGCAGTGAAGTAGATTTCTTTAATATAATAGTAAGAGCAGGCTAAGCTGCAACCCCTGAAAATTAGTGTTTGATAAGTGTAAGTATATATATATATATATATGTATACACAGAAAGTTTTTCAGACAGACCGGTCTGATTGATTGCACCTTGGCATTTTTTGACTGCTATACTGCAGTTCTATTTTTTTTTAATAATCATTTTTACCTTGCAGCCCCCCATACTAGGGGCATTAAGTAGGCTCAAGTCGCTACTGCGATATATTACAAATTCAGATTTCTTTTTTTTCTCAGCAAAAAGAAATCTGAATATATATATAATCTGCATTTTTTAAAAAGATAAAGCATTCTGTACTTAAATGCATAAAATAATAGGGACGCAATTGGGTCATTGATGCAATACCAGAAATATCAAGATGCTTCCCTGAATTGAAAGAGTTAACACACAAATGATGACAATGCTGAAGAATTTCTATAAACATTTAACAAAACTCAGATGTTATATAGATAACTCTAAGCAAGATAAAGGGGAAGGAAGACGTATCTATTTTCATAGTGGAATTTACACTTGCAAGCACCCTGATATGCAAAATAATGATAAAATGTGAGTCTTTGTCAGGTCAAAGAAATTACATCCAAAATTATACTTAACTAAAAGATTAATTGCGTTGTCAATATTATAGGTCGAAAATGAAGAACTAAGACATCTCATGTGGTCATCTGTTCTGTTTTATAAAGCTCCAGATATGGAAGTGACAACTTGTGTACTACTTTCAACTAAAGCTATTTACTTCTTGTTGGATGATTCTGTGACGCATTCTAATGATCACCATTTAGGTATGGTAGAAGAGGCCGGTTCCTGGCTTTCGAAATGTTTGCAGATTTTTAATCACACTAAGGCCTATGCAAAGGTGCCATAATTTTAAACTCTTGCTTTGTACTGTACCTATGGTATTCCATTATTTTTAAAGCAATAGTCTGAGAAAGCCTCATAGTTGGTGGCATGTTTGGGAGTGACAGTTTTCCCTTATAGCTTTAACAGAGTTATGAGGAGTTGTTTTCAAGGAAAACGTCTCAAACAGGAACAGGGTTTTTAATTCTGATTATCTATTAAATCTTCTTTTAAAACTTTCCACAATATTTTTACTTGGTAACCCAGAAAGAGTAGAAATAGGGGGTGGTACAAGTGCTGTTACAAGGCAGAATTATATGGGTAAGGAGCAGACTATTATATTATTGGTCTCAGTGTATCCATCTGGTTCTGGTTTATGTTATTTACATGATTCAGATTCAGAAACGTGTTTGTTAGACTAATACATAGCTGCACCTTTAATAATGGCTTATTTCAGATAAAGATGTCAGGTGCAATTATGAACATTAATTCTCCTAGTACCTGAAACTAATTATTTTTAAGGCAATTAGGTATTGACTGCTATACATTTATCACACACTAGGTTTTTGGGGCACTGACTTTGAATTCAGCTCTTTCCACCTCACTCCTTGCTTAGTTCTAAAATTAAATGATCTGCATTCAGTGAACATTGGACTTTTTGATCAGTATTTTCGACTTACTGGTAAGTTGCATTGAGATTTCTTTCCTTCTTCATTCCTGCATTTTGTTATCAGCAAACGGTAGATTAAAGGTGAATCCATTCTTTATTCCTAGTGCAAAGCACAATTTATAATGGTACTTTATGAGCATTTGAAATATGTCATTAGCAAAATTCCTTTCTATGGGTTGTATAAGGAATGTTTCACCTGATGTCCTTCTCCCTAGTGCTAGCGTGTGGGAGACATGGGATTCCCACATCACATGTTACTTTCTGGAAGCTTAAAAGGAAAAAAAATGACGGGGGAAAATGAAATGAATTCTATAGCATCACTTCTTGAATGTATAGCATAGAAATTGAAATACGTGACAGCAGAATCGGTTCTTTCTTTTATGAAATAAACCAATCTCAGAAGAGGTAAATAAATCCAGTCTTGGCTATGATTGTGGCTGTGCCTGTGCCTGTACCTATGGCACTTATTCATTAAATAGTAGATTTTTAAAAAGCAATAAGCAAATATTCACTGGAAAAAAAGATTAAAAGATAGAGTTGTTAAAATGTCAATGATTTTAAAGGGACTTCCAATAGACAAGCATAAAGTTCAATCAGATTATAAAATTATGCTAATCTGCTGCTATTTAGAGACAGTTCTATTACGAAGAATTTGCAGGTTTGAAAAAGAAATAATTACTGGTTTTTTATAGAGACAATAATATCAGTCACAAATTGTTAAATTAATATGAATTAAATGATTAAACATAATCTTATGCCTGAGGCTGAAGTCCCTGGCTTTTCCAGCTTCTTATAGATAACAACCTTTTATCAGAGGCTCAGGAACAGTTTCCTAACTCTTGTACCCAACTTCTTACTTCTCTCCTTCCTCCCAAGGAACTCCCTGTAGTTTCCAAAAGCCCTTCCTCTTCAATTTGGTGAACTGAATTTGGTGAAACTTTCCTCTTGCTGCATATTAATCATCTCTCTGTATTAAGGTGTAGATTTGGTGAGCCTGAGATGATGCACATTGGAAGTGACTGAACTCTGTCACAATAGTATGTAACAAATGCACATAAACTAGACAAGCTAGACCAGGGGTAGGCAACCTTGGCTCTTTTATGACTCGTGGACTTCAACTCCCAGAATTCCTGAGCCAGCATAGCTGGCTCAGGAATTCTGGGATTTGAAGTCCACGAGTCATAAAAGAGCCAAGGTTGCCTACCCCTGAGTTAGACCAAGATCAAACTGAATCCAAAAACGCTTGGGAATTCCTGGAAGCTTGGCACTCGGACACATCAGCCATCGACCTTGCAAGTTAATAAACAACTTTAACACACCTTTCAAAAGAAACAGTAAAAGCTAAAAAGGAAAGAAAAAGACCAGACTACCTCATTGCTAGCAATCAACACCCAGATAAATAGGGATCAACACCAGGTAAACAATCAAGTAGTAAACAATGCCCTAATCAAGGAATACCAGCTCAGACAGATAATCAAGCAGTAGAGAACAATCAGTAGTAAACAACAGCCTAATCAAGGAATTACCAAGGAGAAAATAACACCCCATCAACACCGGCAGGGCACAAAGATGTTACCTATTCTGGTAATGAAACATCTGCAAACAATGAAGCTCAGAGAGCACCAAGGACTCCACAGTTCAACCCTGAACTATGTATATTCTCTTCTACTGATAAATTATACAGACTGTTTTATAGAAGAGCATGTGCCAAATTGAATGAAGAAAATGACAATATTTGGAAATTGTTATAATTTTTTCACTTAATGTTTTTATTAAATTTATATAAAAGTTCCACAGTATGCATGTGTTTCAAAACTATCCTAATTTTGTAATCGTATTAGAAAGAATCTTAATTTTGTGTCCTTTTCAGGACATTCGGCAGAACATATATTAACCTGCCTAACCAGAGACAGTTATAGCACTCACACTTTTATCCAGCACCTCATGGCAGTGCTCTCACTCCTTGCAAGGACACCATCGCCAGAACCAGTAGATAAGGACTTCTACTCTGAATTTGGGAAGAAAAATACAGGTAAAGTGATTTAGAAGTATTTTAGTAGGCTAAATTAATATATTTCATCACACCTCTCTAGGATAATGTTCATTTGATTGGCTAAGATTTTACCTTTTGATAGCAAATCATCATGTCTTTAATGCATGTTTTTGACCAATAATGGTACAGCAATAGGTAGAATGGCATTTTACATTTGAAGTGATACCTATTTTTTCTTCCTAACATTTTCCTGCAAGTATGCTTTTTTTAAATCTTAATAGGAATTGACCAACCAGTTTGTCACCTGAGTTGACCTTGTGGGTTAAGATGGAGTGACTGGCCCAAAGTCACTCAGTAAGCTTTCATGCTTAAGGCAGAACTAGAATTCAAATTCTCCTGGTTTCTAATCTGTTGCCTTAACTAGACCAAAGTGGCTCTCATTTGCAGTGATACATATATTAGTATCTTTTGCTAAAACTAAAGTAGGCAAATCCAGTTGAAGTAAATATATTTCATCTTTAATGTGCAGCATAGAGGATGGGAGTGGAGTGGAGTGGAGTGGAATGGAATGGAATGGAATGGAATGGAATGGAATGGAATGGAATGGAATAGAATAGAATAGAATAGAATAGGAAGAAGAAGGAAGGAAAGGAAGGAAGGAAGGAAGGAAGGAAATTAAGGACATATTAATTGTTCACTTTGTTATGCTACTGCATTGGTAGGTACTTGGTGCCTGCTAACACAGGAAAAAGAGTTAATGTAAATTGGAGTCTCTTCTGTTCCCTGGAGAAGATTTCTTATTCTATATACTTCCTCATGCTTGTCTATTGCTTTTTTCCAGGTACTGAGTCTGATGGCGAAAAAAAAATTACTGAATACTCCTCAATAAAAATGAAAGGGCATAGAGTTGACATAAACTGGTTAGCAAAGTCAGGAAATCCTTGGCACACCCACATACCAACAATGTGACAAAGAGTTTTCCACTTTTGTGTAATTCATTTTCAATTTGTTCTTATTCATTATTATCAACAGCAAACTCAGCTACATATTCTCATTGGATATACATCTGCCCACATTTTTTTCATAAATAACCTATAATCAAAAATCAGCTGTGATTTACATACATTATGGAGTCAGTGAACACTCATTGTTCTCAGAGTGGATGTGCATACGTTCCTTGGACACTTTTGTTTTGCATGGCTTTAAATTACTAATAATTGAAAACAGTCAGAATGTTATGTTACACCATTAGAGGGTATTCCTTGTGACATGTGCACACCATGCATTTGGTGATTGAGGCACACCTGAGATTTAAATTGGCTTTAAGCAACATTTCTAGTTAGCTTTTTTTAGAAAAAATCAGAAGAAAATGTCCTGAATTGCTTGGGTCTGGTCTAAAGAGTTAGAATAGGGAAGGAGGATAGGATCATTTAGTTACTGGATGCAGATGCTCCTCTACTTCTTTCCCCATGTTTTGAAAGGATACTTCCTTCACATGCAAAAATAATAAGATCATAACATCTGGCCTAGCTCTTTAACACAATGTTATTGTGTTTTGTCATTTCTTCAGTATTTGTGCAATTCCTTTTAGCCCTAAACTGCATCTGAACGACTATATTCCCATAACTTCTGCATTATATAATTCTTCAGAAAGGTAGACTAGTCCTAAGAAAAAGGTAAAATTGAACTAGAAAGTATACCAAAGGCATGTTTTAGTGTGGCCAACTAAAATAGTGATAGTAATCAGAAAATAGGGCAGTTTCACAGCATTAAAGCTCAGCATGAATCAGTGTGGTATAGCTATTGCTATGTCTGAAATAGTATTTTGCTTCATATGTCTACTCAGCTACAAAGCTCACTGCATAGCTTTGCATCAATTGCTATCTCAGCCATAATGTATCTTACAGTTGTTGTTTTGTTAAAAGCACATGCAAACCACTTCAAACAAAACCACATTAAACAATCAGAGACGTCTCCCCACAAAATTTCAATAAAACTCACTCAGGAAGCTTAACTTTCTTTCATGTAAGTATTTCATGACTGGATTTTGAAAATATAGCTGAGGTTTTGTTTATTAGATTTATATCTCATCTTGTTCAACAGCATACACAGCACTCCCTGCTTGCCTTTTTCTACATAACGATGATCCTATGAAATAGATTGGCTTAAAGAGAATGAGCAGCTTAAAGTCACATCACTGAACTTCAGTGAAATTGATGGTGCCTGTCACAGCCACTACACCACACTTAACTGTCCAAGAGTGTTAAAAGTCTGAACAAATAGTATAATTGCCTCTCTCCAAAAACAGAAACAAAGATATGATCAGTCTTATCATAATCACATGTGGCCACAGAAAAACCATGCCATGTATTCCTACTACCCTAACCTATCTTGTCAGTGCATATACCTCTGCTTGTCTGGCTATCTGGGATCTTCATAAAAATAAATAGGAAGAACATACCATCATAAGCAATTTGAAGAAAGGGCATTAATTAAAAGTAAGCAAAAATGTGTTTATATTGGATTGCTCAGGTTGCTTCACATTAATTATTTCAGTAAATATCAAAATGATGCACACCAGTTATTGATGTGTTATGGTATATGGAAGTCTGAAATTAAAAATAAGTAGTTTACCTCATGAGTACGTGTAGCACAGATGAATTTTCTGATTCATAACTCAGTTTCTTTGGGTTTGGTATGTGTTGTCTTTTTCTCTATTCTTTATAGTGTGTTTTTAATCATTTCAACTTTTAATTTGAGAAGATTTTTTTTCTGGAAAAAAGTGTTCTGAATTAGTTCTAAATCTAATTATTCAAAATATACATTTCTTTGTTGTTTCAGGAAAAATGGAAAACTATGAACTGATTCACTCTAGCAGAGTGAGATTCATATATCCCAATGAAGAAGAAATTGGGGACCTTGCTTTTCTGGTTGCTGAGAAGATGAACAGTGTCGTGAAATCCCCATCCCTGAATCTACTCCTTTATGTGTTGGCGTTTCAGGTCAATACGACGGAGGGGACTGCTCAGGCCTTCAGTTCCCTCCAGCCTAAAACACTGATCCTAACTAGCTCAGATTTGTTTCTTTTCAATGAGGACTACATCAGCTACCCACGGCCTGAGTTTGCAAAGGAACCACCAAAGGGAGACAAGTATCAGCTTGCAGATGGAAGAAGAATCCGTGACCTAGATCGTGTGCTCATGGGCTATCAGGCCTATCCTCAGGCACTCACCTTTGTTTTTGACGACATTCAGAATCATGATCTCATGCAGAACCTGACCTTAGATCACTTTGGCAATGCCTTCAGTTTCCCTAAAGGACAGGCCGCACAAGAGGGCAATGTCAGCCAAGAGGTGCTCTGGTGTGTCTTCATCCCAAGTCCTGACAGCCGTGAAAAACTGATCTCACTACTTGCTAGGCAGTGGGAGACACTGTGTGGTAGGGAGCTGCCTTTGGAGCTCACCGGATAATTTTGTTGGGTTTAAATATTTCAGCTCATCAGGTCTACAGTTACAAATTAAAGCACAGTATTGACTGATTTAACCCTGGATCAGCATTGTCTTCACAGCAGTGTCACATTACATAGGGTGATTTTGTTTTTCCCCCCCCTGTGCATTGCCATTGGTATTTCTTGTGCGGGGGGCGTGGGGCGTTATTACACAACATAAGCTGCTAAATGATTGTCCTGGAATTTTCTAAACTCTGTTTTTATGTAGCAAGTAACATGTTCCAGATTCCTAATTAAGCATTCTAGGCAACTGTATGGAACAAAAGGAGTCGGCACTTGGCGTACTTTCATTTAGGGCTGTTGATGTTTCCACTGTGTTTTTGTACAATGCTGTTCTATACAAAAATATAGAAATAATGGTATCAAAAGATGCTTGTGCTATGTTAAGGTGCAATGTTCTTTGGACAAGATGTACACTGCTTATACTGCTGATAATTATTTAATGATATTTCTTATTTTTACATTTTGTCTTTTTATGATGTATCATTTTTTTAATTTTGTCGGCTAATTGTGAACATGATAGAATTCATCTAATTGAATGTTGATTTTACATGTCATTTATATTTTCATGAGATTGAACAAAGTTACTGGTTTGATTTCAACACTGCAGACAGAAGGATTGGTCAGGAATGGTCATAATTATTTGATGCCAACAAATAATGAAACATTTGTTGTTAGGAGCACCTTGTTTTTGTTGCCAAATTTCTCAAAAACAATAAACTGAATTTTGACACAACTATTGTTTACTCTAGTTTATTTTTAAGATATAATCAGATTCTTAGTAATTTGATTACGGTGCAGATCAGCAGGTGGTGAAGTAAATGAAAAGACACGAGACTATGAAAGCAATTGATCCAAATCCTGAGCAAAAAAAATCAGAATACATTTGTATAAAGGGTGCATAAAAGAACACCTATGATCATCTTCTCTCTGTTCAATCCCATTAACCTGCAAATAGCTTGGTTTTTAATAATAATAAAGTTGGAAGGGAACTTGGAGGTCATCTAGTCCAACCCCCTGCTCAGGCAGGAAACCCTGTACCATTTCGGACAAATGGCTGTCCAGTCTCTTCTTCAAAACTTCCAGTGTTGGAGCATTCACCGCTTCTGGAGGTAGGTTGTTCCACTGGTTAATTGTCAGGAAGTTCTAGGTTGCTTCTCTCCTTGATTAGTTTCCATCCGTTGCTTCTTGTCCTGCCTTCAGGCACTTTGGAAAATAGCTTGACTCCCTCTTCTTTGTGGCAGCCCCTGAGATATTGGAACACTGCTATCATGTCCCCCCTCATCCTTCTCTTCATTAAACTAGACATACCCAATTCCAGCAACCGTTCCTTATATGTTTTAGCCTCCAGTCCCCTGATCATCTTTGTTGCTCTTCTCTGTACTCTTTCTAGAGTCTCAACATCTTTTTTACATCATGGTGACCAAAACGATGCAGTATTCCAAGTGTGACCTTACCAAGGCATTATAAAGTGGTATTAACACTTCACGTGATCTTGATTCTATCCCTCTGTTAATACAGCCTAGCAGTGTGTTGGCTTTTTTGGCAGTTGCAGCACACTGCTGGCTCATATTTAAGTGATTGTCCACTAGGACTCCGAGATCCCTCTCACAATTACTACTATTAAGCAAGGTACCCCCTATACTATACCTGTGCATACGTGTTCAAGTCTGTCCAGATCCTCCTGTATCTTAAGCCTGTCTTCTGGAGTGTTGGCTATTCCTGCCAGCTTGGTGTCGTCTGCAAATTTGATGATTTCCCCATCTATCCCCTTGTCCAAATCATTGATGAAGATGTTGAAGAGCGCTAGGCCCAGAACAGAGCCCTGGGGCACTCCACTACACACTTCCCATCATGTAGATGCGGTTCCATTGAGGACCACACGCTGAGTATGGCCGGTCAGCCAGCTATGAATCCATCTGGTGGTGATGCTGTCTAACCCACATTTTTCTATCTTATCAAGTAGTAGGTTGTGATCTACTTTATCAAATGCCTTACTGAAGTCCAAGTAAAGGGCAATTGTCCCATTTGTTTTAATTCAAACTTGAAGTGTTAGTAAGCTGCATTTCCTTTTCATTTTTCAAGAAAAAGCTTTCTTGTTAAGTACTACTTGATGGAGAAGATGGGGCTATTGCAATCAGGCTTCATTTCTAGGCTTCCAAAAGGTGGCTGTTGTCTCCTATGGACCAGGTAAGCCTCTGATCTGAATTTGGAGATTTCAGAATAAGAAGTGGAAGGGTAGGAAAAAGACATAAATGCGTATGGGCTATAGCTGATTTGAATAGTTCAATGCCCCCTGGATAGGAATTCAGAATACAAGCTGAAAACGTTATTAGGAACAAGTGCAAAATAATTATTTAAACTTTCTTAGGCTGCAGCTACATACTTAAAGATTATAGTGGACCTTGTTCTTGATAAGCGAGGTCACGCATATCTCTAACTCAGGCCAATCTTTGTCACATTTGTCAGAAGTAAATATACTGCTGTAGCTCACGTGATTTATACATACAAGTCTCATTCTGACTATTAGGGAATTGAAATTTAAACAAATGTTCCATCTCTAGAGGAGGGGACTGGCCTCTGATTCAGAACTTCCTTTCTGTCTAAGAGCCAATATAGGAAAGGTTATTCATCAAGCAAAAAAGAAGAATAATTTCCAATTCAGAGTGTTTATAAAATCCAGCAGAGGAGTTAAAAAAAAAGTAGTTGCTGCTTTATTGTATTTTTCATTTTAGATTTGCCCTTAATTAAACAACAGGAAAAGCAAAATAGAACAAAGAAATATCACAAGGTGTTCTCATGCATATTGGTATATGCAAGTTTTACACATGAAGCTTCAGTAAAAGATTCCCAGATTTCATTATAATTTCACATATAATGGGGGGGGGGGGGCTGACAACTGAATGAAAAGTAATACCTCCACCTCCATATCTTCAGCTTAAACAGTTGCTTTTAACAAATGAAACAGGAAAAGAATGCTTAAACTGAGCTCTTTTGTTATTTGTATAATTTAGCTGTCCTTGAAACTGAAAATACTGGTCAGAATTGAAATATCAATAATTGTAGTTGTACATATAGCCAGTAGGTGGCAATAGACAATTATTCTTTACATAAAGAAAAAACAACTAATAACTCAGTATCTCCCAGTATTGCATCATAAAGTAAAAGTCTCAACATCCATTGAAAGTTTCCATGTACGGTTGGTTGGCTTTTGTCAATTCCAAGGTTTGGAGTACCCCATAATATCAATCTGACATGAGAAAAACGATCCAATTGAAAAATTTTAGAAATGTATGCCACAATTTTCAAATTGATGGAATAGTGAGAAAAGATACATTTATTGTATTTTGAACCCCAAGTAGTCTGAATAATTAAAGGTGCTATATGTGTGTATTCCCAAAGAGCAATAAGTGAAGCTCCCCAGAGTTTGATAGCGGTCAAATTATATGCATAATGGTATAATTGAAGATTGGGGAAGCTAAGTCTCTTTTCTTCAAATGACTAAAGTATTTTTTTCAACAATAGCTGGAAATTAAAAAAAAAAAAACCTACATGAAGATTTACCTTGTACAAGTAGTCCTCAACCTACAACAGTTCATTTAGTTACCAAACTTATAACGACACTGAAAAAAGTAACTTACGACTGTTTTTCATATTTATGACCATTTGCAGCAGTCCCATGGTCATGTGATCAAAATTCAGGCACTTGGCAACTGATTCATATTTATGAGGGTTTCAGTGTCCCGGGGTCATGAGATCACTTTTTGCAACCTTCTGACAAGCAAAGTCAATGGGGAAGCCAAATTCACTTAACAACTGTGTTGCTAACTTAACACCTGCAGTGATTCACTTAACAACTGTGGCAAAAAAGGTCATAAAATGGGGCAAACTCCTTGAACTAATGTCTCACTTAGCAACAGAAATTTGGGGCTCAATTTTGGTCATAAGTCAATAACTATCTGTACTGATTTTTTTTTTTAAAAAAAAAAACCCTTTTCCTGATATGTATATCAGAGATTACATCCATTCTGAAAGTTTTTACCGACTCAAAAGGGTAAGGCCTAAAGCCTCTCATCTATTACTATCCCTTTGTATATATTGTTCATATTTAATGCATTTATTTGAAAAATACCCCACAAAATAAGACTATATAAACAGTTAATAAATTCAGTATTTATACAAAAATGTAGTCGGGATGCTTATAGATCTTTGCCTGTTGGCTTCAACATTAAACTACATTAATTAAAAGACTATCCTGCTAGTCACCCAAACTTGTTAATCAAATATATCTGAGCTGGAATGGAGTATGACACTGAAAAATAAACAGTAATCATCAGCATATAACGCCAATATACTGTACTGTATGGTATGATGAAGTATGCCAAAAAAAACCCTTCACAGATTATAGGATATTGTGTCTGATGACACAAGCATATCCTAAAACATCAGAAATCAAAGGAGAAACTGGGCATCCTAATTCAGTAGTTTTATAAAATAACCAGTTGCTATTTTAAAGAAAACAAAAATCATGAATTTGGGCAACTTAAATTGACCAGATTTAGCTACCCCAAATTAATTGAGGTTCTCACTTTTGAAAATGCTTGCACAGTACAAAAAAAACAACAAACCACCTTCATTTGGGCCTTTATTTTTTGCTAGCTGCTTGAAAACCAAGCAGGTATTCCAGACTCAGATTTCAGAGGAGAAGGACATGTACGTTCAAGGAGGAATAGTCAGTTCCTCCATTAATGCTGCTAAGCAAGCTGTGGGAACATCGTCATCAGAAGTCAAACTCAGCTCAAAGATGTCTCTAGTTTTAAGCCACTTGGCACATGCAGGGGGTTGGACTCGATGACCTCCAAGGTCCCTTCCAACTTTATTATTATTATTATTATTATTATTATTATTATTATTATTATTATTATTATTATTATTATTATTATTATTATTATTATTATTATTATTATTATTATTATTATTATTATATCCTTTACTTACCTCAGACTCCCAGATACTAAGCTTTGAGGTATTGTTGAAATAAGATGAATTTTTTAAAAATACAGTGAATGTAGGGCAGAGGTCTTCAAACCTGACCCTTTTATGACTTTTGGACTTCAACTCCCAGAATTCCTCACCCAGCTTTGGCCAAGTTTGAAGACCCCTGATGTAGGGGAACGTTACCAATGATGGCATTTTATAATACCTATTTTCTAATAGTGTTATTACACTTATGCCAACAGTTAATTGAAAAAACAATGTCTCCCTAACACATAAAAATATAGAAGAGCAGCTGATCTGGAAAATATGATTATGAAATAAAACATTCTCAGGTAAAAAACCCCAGTTCTCTTGTGATCATAAATAAATTAGAGATGTGCTGACCCCTGAATGAATCACCAGCTGAGAAAGTCACATGGTTTTCTGTGAATCATTCCATAGTATGCTGTATGAAGAAGTTTGGTGTTTTTCTTTGGTGTTTTTTTCTCCTTCCATTTCTAATGCAACAAATCTGGCAAACAGGTTCATATGTTGTATTAGAGTCAAGCAAAAAAAAAGACCATGTAAAAGGCATGCATGTTATCTATTTATGTTTTCTTACAGCAAAACATATAATGTTATCTTTGTAAAATAAGTAGTCTTCAATTAAAATTATAGTATGATTGTTATTTCACTGTTTCAAATGTATGTATATATATGTATGTGTATATATATATATACTTGCTATGGGTTTGTTGGTTGCCTCCCAGTGGCATCTAAGGTGAAGCAATAAATAAACCAAAAAGGAAAAAAAAAGAAAAATTAACAATTAAAATTGGCAATTAAAAATTTGAAAAGTATTCTTATAGATCTCTTAAATATTATTTCTGATGCATTTTTATTTCTGTTATATAGGTATGCAAATATTCCTATCTTTCCGGACATACTTATACATATATACTATGTTATAAACAGGGGCATCTGTGGGTGTGAGTGTTCAAAAGTTAAGATGCTAACCGCAACTGTATAATCAAAACCCTACCCCATTTTTATGTATGTTGCACATATAGTACTATATATCTTTAAAGTGGCTTCAATCATACTGTTGCAGCTTAATTTATTATTATTTTGGTTTAAAAAAACCATCTTAACTTTTTAGACTCCTCCCTTCACAAATGCACCACTTTATATCTTCCACAATTGATATGAATACAAAATTCACATCAGAATATTTATTACAGTACAAATACACATAGGCCCTATCTATTGACTAACTGGATAATTTTTTTATTGCTCGTAAAGAGACATACTGTTAACGGCTAAAAAAGTTAGTGTCTAATGGCAGAGCTCTACAGCTGTTATCTCAGAATATAAGCTGTCCTGAGACGACAATTTACTGAACAGAAATATTTTATCCATTCCATCCTAGACTTCCATAAGAACAGAAATAAATCAATAAAAACAAGCAACAGTGTTTTACATGTTGATGGGCAGTGAACCCGGGGCTATAAATCTGCAATCCCAACCTTTGGTTTCTAAAATCATTTGTTGAGTCTTACAGAGAGGCTATTTTTAAGCAACTATGGCCATTTACAGCTTTTTTGGGAAGGACAAGCTATGCAGATTTTTGGATCCTTGTGAGATTCACCCTATTCCTGACTACACAGTTTAAACTGCAGTATATTCTCCATTTGATATAGTAATTGTTCATTTCTAACTTCATAATCAAGAATCCTTTATTCAGCGCAGCAATATTGTGATAGATCAAATATTCTGTGTTAATATCAGCAATCAAGAATTTAGAGAGGACTTGAGGATGACTCAAAGAATCAGAACTACAACTACTATTGGTCCAGATAATTGCAAGGTAGGGGAGGAGAAAGAGAAAGAGAAAGAAGGAGGAAGAATGGAAGGAATATTGGGGGAATAATATAATCATCATGCCTTGAAAATCAAATATTTCAAAGAAAGTTGGTTTAATAAGAATTTCATAAGGATTGTCCTTCATATCAAGAAATAACCAGGAAGCCACTATGTTTATAAGCAGCATTTTCTCTACGTTGCTATCTTATATTTCATGTTTTCATTGGTTTGCTGAAAAGTTGTCGATGAATTAAAACTTACTCTGATATCATATAAATTTACCATCTGGGTTGTTAACAAAATCTAGTTCATGGGCAGCTTTACCTCATTGTTAAATACACAATCAGACTTCCATTTCAATAAAAAAAAATGAAAGGATTTCCTTCTGTCTGTTGTAACTGATAGAAGAGAGGAAACTTGTTAATGTTCCTGTTTTGAGTAATCCATTGTTTTCCTTTCTCAGAATCATTTTCATGCAGTCTATGCCTCCCTGCTTTTTCCTTTTAAATCTGCTGACAGTTGAGGCTTAGTCAAAATGCTGCTCCTTCTGAATAGTTAGGACTAAGAGATTTACATCATGCAAAGACTTTCACTCCGTTCTCATTTAACTTCACAGTTTCTTGGGTCTCATTTTTAGTAGGCGGTGTTATTTTATCAAACTGTACACTTCCCGTTTGGGGCAAAGAGATATCTTTTGGAAAAGCATGCCGAGGAAAATTCTTGGATTAGTCTTGTTCATCCTAGCAATATGTGCAACTTTTCAAGACGAAGGGCGGACAAATCAGGTAAGTTTCTGTGAGGGGTGAAAACTGCAGTCCACTCTGCCATTTTAACTTGGAAATAAGCTCTGGCGAACTTGGGAAAATTAGCATGCTTCTCTGGCAAAAGTTGTAAAATCCTTCAGCACTTAAAGGGGCAGCAGGATGTTTGAAAAGAGGATGAGATGAAAAAATAAATATTACTTCAGCTTCAAAAAGCAAATTCCCACTTAACCAGACCTTAGAACTAGGTCTGTCCTTACACTATGTGTATGGTTTGGGGAAATATATGTATAAAATTGCAAGGTTGATGCATTTTAATGAATTAAACAATTAAGAATTTTTCATCAGAATTAGTAAGTTAAGTCAAGTGATTTGGCAATTCATTTAGCATAATCTAACTATTTTTAGTTTTTAAGTGTAAATATTAGTAAAAACTGAATAATTCCCCCTTTTCAATTATGCTTATTTAAACATTGATAAATGTATTGTCTAATTTAGGAATGCAATAGGGCAGCCCCCTAACATTCCTTGAAGCCTCCCAGAGTAGAAAGGGTAAAAACCTGGTCTCCCTATTTTTCCCCCCATTTGGAGGGATTAGGGAAGCTTTACGAGATTTCTCCCCCTTCCCCCAATATATTGGAAATCTCATGATCCACCAGAGCCTGGTATAAAAAATACAGACCAGAATCACTGGGGTTGAGTGGCATATACATTTTTAATACAAATTTAATAAATTTAATAAAAAAATAATTTTTAAATAATAAATTATGTTGTTCGCACTGACAGCTAGATGTTTAGACTGGATCTTATTCACCTATTAATCCTCCCCAAGGACTTGAGATAGGCAGATGATGTATTATTTTTATTATGCTTGGTTGCACAGTCCATCACATTTTTCTTCCTCCTCTTCCTCTTCCCCATCATCATCATCATCATCATCATCATCATCATCATATTCAAATCTCCAGAATTTATTTTGAACTCTCAGTCCTTCCACATATAATTTTCTATAATGAACCAAGAGTTGTAAACAACTCAGAATCAGATCTCTTTGCCAATCTATTGCTGTTTACTCAAAATCTGTAAAGGAAAAATTCATATCTTAAACAAATGTTTACGAAGATAGAATAGATCAAAAAGTACTTTAATTATTGATAAAGATCCTAATAGCATAAGTATTCTTCTTTTAGATGTCAAACAATTATGAATAAACATGTGTCTTCAGGCCAGTCAATTGTTCCCAGCCCAACTCACTTCACCCTGTCATGGGGAAAATAGGAGGAGGAAGGAGTATTAAATATGTTTGCCACCTTGAGTTATTTATTTATAAATAAATAAATAAATAAATAAATCTGTAGAAGATGTAAGAGGAAGGAAGGAATTATATAGGAAAATATATTTGGCCTTTCTGAGAAAGAAATCAGGGCTATATAGTAATCCAGTTTCAACAGGAAAAAATGATTTGGAGAAACCGGGGTATGTCCAAAACATTTGTCAACCTTTGTCTTAAAACATGGATCTTTTCTTGGGATCGCACAGCTGCAAAATAGATAACCTTGAGTGCTCTGTGAGTGTATGTATAATCCGAATCATCTTTTCCCTGGTGAATCTGGATTTCTGAGAGCATTTAAAGAGCTTTGTTGAAACTGAGCTTATCCAAACTTAAAGATGAACTTTGAATAGGATGAATTCCAATAACTCCCCTCCCCCCCCAAAAAATATATAGAATGATATTGTGTTTATATAAATGTACAGAACAGGAAAATAAAATGGAAACTCTGTATCTTGTATGTTCCTAAACAAGATTTTATAATAATATGAATACTATTAAGAGTGACTAAAGACATTTTTTTTACAGATATCCTGTTGCTACGTATAAAAGCCACAAAAAAAGAAGGGAGTCACATTACTTTCCGGCACTTAAACAAATAAATTATTTTACCACACAATAAATTCAAAATGTTAGGAATGTGTCAACAATAATGATATTGTGTGTTCAAAGAGGGCTAGGTATACTGACACTGCATCAAGTGTCTGAAGAATTACATCCAGAACTCTGATTTTGTCATTTATTGCCTGCAGTGATGAATAAACAACAGGGAGCAGATTACTGAAATGTTACCATTCACTGGATGGGATTACCTTCTGAATTAGAACATTGAGCCAATAACTTAATCTAATCCAGTAATGGTTTGTGTATATAGTTTGGGTTTAACTTTGTAAAGTTAACTTTGGTTTAACCCGCTTTAATGGGTTCAAGCATTTGTATTTATTTAGAGTATCTTTACTTACCAATTGGAACAAAAGCTTGCACTTATTGAAAAGTGCAGTATAGCAATGGGAATGGAGTGAGGATATAATTCCCAGAGAAGCTCATTTATACTATCTGCTGAACTGGAGAGACTTCATCAGTTAGATGCTCATCACATTCAGAGGAGTCATTCCTTCACAGAGTTACATTTGTCTCCGGATCAAGAACCGGGGACCTTACTCTATGGTCAAATATGTAGAAGTAAGATATGTAAAAGTGAGATCCAATCTATTTTTCTTCAAAGAAACAATAGAGCACCAGAAAAGATAAGTACCTAGCTCCAGCCTCTTATCTGCTCGTTCACAGCTTCCCTCCTCTAAAATCCCCAGGCATGTTTTTTCCTTTTTTTTTCTAATGTGCTTCAAGGCTCTCTTATCTACTTTTGAACAAAACCAAATTTCTCCAGTGTTGGTGTAGTTATCTGAGTGGAAGCAGATCCTGTAGACGGTGGGTGCACCCTGTTTTCTGCAGTTGAACGTTGAACGGTCTTAGAATATGTTAGTTATGGCCTTACATATGGGACTCATAAAGCAGAATCATCTCTGCTGCAGAACGGAGAAATGAAAGGTTCTCTGGGTTGTGTTACAACATTGTTGGGGAAGTGATACTTACCGAAGTTAAACTGCTGGCATGGGGGCAGCACTTTTCTGTGCATGTAGCAGGAAAGCCAAAACCAATAATTCATTAGTGTGGATCGATTTGTCTCCAGAGTTTCTGGGATGTGTTGCATTATAGTTCCCATATTTCTCAGCTGGCATGCTGTGATGAGGCTGGGCAGCCGAAACCATCAGACAGTGTTGGATCAAGGAAGGCTGGCATGCATTAGATATGGATTGATCAGAAATATTTCCAGATGCCTGTCACTTGGCTTTATCTCTGGAAATAAGACATTAAACAGGTTTGAAAACCCATTGATGCTGCTTGTTATCTTTTAACTGAGTTATGAAACTGTGCATTTTGTATAAGAATTATTAACTTTCCCATTTTCCAGTTAAAATCAATGCGATGTCATCGGACGTTCACATATAGGAAGACTACTTCTTGCTCTACTTGCGCTCTTAATTCTCACAAGGTGAGATGCCCAAATGGATGGAGGCTAATTGACAAGCCACAGCAATGCAGGTAAAAAGGTGCTCTTTTCTATTTCAGTGTGTGTGATATATTTTAGAACAGGGATTTCCCAATGAATCAAAGGACACTTTGCTTAATGGTAAAGTCATAGGGATGGTTTACACCTATGGGGAAAAATAAAGACAAAAAACTCCAGGCCAGTCCCAGTTAATAGGACACAACATCTGTCAAGCTTCTACTTTCTGTGCATGCAGAATTTGAGCCTGGATTGTGATGTCATATCAGATACAGAACAACCCTGATACCAAAGGCTTGGAGGTTTCTATGTAAATAATACATTTTATTATGTGACAGAGCTGACCTATGTAAGTAACCACATCTGGATAGTACTACTGATTTTTGAGATAACTAGGGTGGATTATGTCCAATTATGGCCTGTGGCAAAGTTTAATCATATTATTTAGTAATTGAAACAACATAAACATATTTGTTTTCGTAAGCAGGTAGTCAGGCAGGCAAGCAGGTAGATGATAATGGAGAGCTAGACAGATAAATCAATCTTCATTACAGTCACAGACCAAAATGCAACTGAATGGCACCCATTTTTAACAATAACATTTATAAAGAAATCACTAGAGCAACACATCTTAATATCTGCAGTAAACTGAACTTTGATTTACAAAGCTTGTAGAGTAGAACCTATACTTTAAATGCCACTGAAGAAAAAATATTAATTCAAGTATGTGCAAAATGTTTTGTGGTATTTACAGTAGGTAGAGTGAGACTGAGTTGTTTAAGATATCTCTCTGTCTTAGAATGGTAATCAGGATTGCTATGAGGTACAAATCAAATTCAAGCAATCTTTATTTATTTACTGTACCGATCTTTGGTTTTGGGTAGCCCTTGCTCATAGCTCAAGTACTGCAGTGGTGGGTTCTAAGAGTATATTAAACTCACTGCAGGCAAAATAAAATTTAATGTTAATTCAAAAGCCAAATAAGCCTTTTAGTAATGTTGGGCTTCCATATGAATGCCAATAAAAGCTATAAAAGATGCCAAACATTCTTGGAAACTATGATATACACAGATTTTATTCAATAGACACCAAAGCAGCCTATACATATCTTTTCCTTTCCTTAGATCAATAATATATTTGGTACTGGATGTCATTTTCTAATACAAAAAACAATAGTAATGTTTTTATTTTAATCTGTGACTATAATAAAATTCAATCTATTCCTTATTTATCTACTAGCAAAAATGTTTTCTCTTATTTTTGAATCTAGATCATTTTCTCATAATCCTTTAATTTTTAGTTTAGTATTACTCAAATTGCAAATTAACATCTGTGCTTTTTTATTGCATGCTGATTTCCTAAAGCAGGGGTCTTCAAACTTGGCCCTTTTATGACTTGTGGACTTCAATTCCCAGAATTCCTCAGTCAGGCACACTGGCTGAGGAATTCTGGGAGTTGAAGTTCACAAGTCATAAAAGGGCCAAGTTTGAAGACCCCTGTCCTAAAATAACAGTTATGTTCTATTATGTCCTATTCCTCACTTCTACACTTTGAAGTTAAGCTCCAGAATATTTTAAATTCTTAATATATGGATGCCAACCCATTTGCTGTCAAATGTACCAAACATATTTAGCTTTTGAAAACCAAAACTGCACAGTGTCTCATTGATATTGAAGTTCCTATACCTAACTTACAGAAACAGGACTGAAGTTCCAGGGCTTAAACGATTTTTGTACTTTTAGTATCTGCCGTGGAATTAATTTAATTTCCTCTATGATTTTCAATAATTCTCAAAGTTTTTTTTTAAAAAACTAAGCTTCTGATATGCAGATTAAATATTTTCATTTGTAACTTGGATGGTGATATGTTAACTTTCTAAGTTAGCTTCTCCCAATCTGGAGAGCCTTCCAGATTTTCCCAGCCAGCAGGGCAACTGTTGAGAATCCTGAAGTTGAGATCCACACATATAGAGGGAAAGCAGGTTGGAGAATTGCTGAGCAGTTGGTAAACTAACCATTGGCAATATGTAGAGTCAAAAAACTGATGGATCTTAAAGGTTCACCCTATGAATTGAGGAAGGATTTCTTGGCAGAACAGAAAGATCACCCTATGCATGCAGCTTAGTTGTCAATGGAAGCCTCTTCTGTTGAGTATATTTGCATGATGCTTTAAGCTTAATATGACTGAATGGTGAATATGCCCTACTATGGTGTGCTCATGTCTGCTGGCTCCTTTTTTAAGCCAGGAATGGTGTAGCAAGCAGTTGCATTCACTGTGCTAACCTATACAAAGGCTTAGTGTTTTATGTAAATAATACTGATACAACAAGGCACCTCATCTGTTGTTGAAGCAAGCTGAAGGGTATAGATAAAATTACAGAATTGGAAGGAGAGTTTTGGACACTGGGTCCAACTAACAATTCAGTACAGGATTACAAATTAAAACATCTTAGATAGATGGCTCCTCAGTGCTCCTCCTCCTCCTGCTTGAACACCCCCAATTCTTTATCCACAACTTTCCATGAGCAATTGATTCCACTATTGTATTGATGTTATCATTAGCTAGTTGTTTTTGGTTTAATTGTTCAATTAGAATTTGCCTTTCTAAATCTACTATTCTTTTCACTCTGTTCCTCTGCTCTAGAATAAAAATGTTTTTGCTTTTCTTCAAAGTCATATGCTTTTAGGTTTTTGAAAGTACTTATACCTACTTACCTATTTAGGTACATACTGTAGGTACAAGGTACATATGTTTATGTGTACATACCTGTACACACACTTACACATATCTATACACACAATTGAGAAACCAAGAGTAAAGGAAGTAAGGTCAACAATTCTGTATCACTGATTCTGGGCAGCCAAATTTGGGCCAGAAAAATGACACTGCTATTTCTAGTTTTACCTTCAAGGCAGATGATCATGATAGAAAGTATTTTCAGATCAGATTTTGGCTTTTCTGTGCTATAGGTATTGTTTGGAATATATCACTGTGCCTTATAGTTCCCTGAATGATAACAATTTTTGCATCTGTGCATATGTGTGTTCGTTTTCCTATTTCAGGTATACAGTAAACCTGGGTGAGAATACCTTATCTATCTCGGGGTGTAATTACTTGTGCGTGAAGGACGTAGAAGAGGAACAATGCTGCTCTGGATCCTGGGGTTCTGAATGCTATGGTAAGTTTTTGAATATAGGACACATACCACATAGTCAGGGACTCAGATAGTTTGGGAATCATGTTTTCCTTGACAAGCTTTTGGAGTCTGTATGTACTGAAGCTATGGAGTCCAATAAGAAATAAGGATTTAAACACTGGGCCATACAGAGGTAGGCAGTATCAGCATGCTGTGTACTTGAAAAAATATACCTTTTGCAATCATTTGCACATATTGTACAGGCAATGTACAATGATGACATACAACAGCAAAAGGAGAAAAAAAAATTCAAAAACCCATGTTGTGGACCAGGGGTGTCAAACTCAATTTCATTGAGGGCCGCATCAGCATTGCGGTTGCCCTCAGGGGGGCCAGGTGGGTGTGGCCAGGGTGGATGCGGCCTACTGGGTGGGCATGGATGGAGTGGGTGTGGCCTACTGGGTGGGTGTGGCCAGCTCTACATTGTCTGCGTCAAGGGTGCCTGTGGGGGCCTGGGCAGGAGTGGGACAGATCTGAGGGTCTCTGGCAGAAGGGGGTGGGACCAGGGCAAGCGCCAAGGCATGGTCCACTGGAAGAGCCTCACTGTTCCTCTCAGGCCATGTGAGGGGAGGGGCTGGATGGTGGTGCGGGCTGCCCAGAGCCCTGGGCAGCAGAGGTCAAATGCCCAGCCTGGCCCTCAAGCACCCGCGGCACCAAGCCCAGCCCCACTTCCTCAAGGCTGCTGCTCAAGGTTCTCCTGGTTCCTCGCTGTTTCCAGACAGCCTTGTGGAGCTAAGACTAAATGCATTTCAGCATAGATGGCCACCACAACATTGTACATTGGCTCCCAGCTGGCCTGGGCCAGGGCCAAGGCAGAGGGGGCCATTCCCTCACTGTTTCCAGGATGGCTTCATGGGCCACATGAAACCACTTCGCAGGCTGCATCTGGCCCCCGGGCCTTGTGTTTGACATGTCTGTTGTAGATATAACACAACAATTGTACATTTGATGTGCAACAGTCAGTCCCAGTCAAGTCAACACACAAAGAAGGGTCTCCAATTGTAATGGCATCTAGGACTGACCTTGGGAGACAGAAGAAGAACCACAGAGTAGACAACAGTCAGATAAGAGACTGCTGAGCCTGCAGAAGGAATGCAGGGGGATGGCAAATGTCTCAGAAGGAACTCCCCATTTTTTCTTGAGCTGTGAAGATGATGGGGGAGAGTTGTACTTTTAGACTTGCAAGATTCTGTTATTCTGAATGAACAGATTCATTAAGAAGGAAGGCTCCTTGTTATCCCGGATGGCCCAAAGAAATAAAACTAGGCCCCGATGTTTATACGAATAGAGCAGTGGTTCTCAACCTTTTTAATGCCCCGACCCCAACCGGTCGTAAGTCGAGGACTAAACCGGTCGTAAGTCAAGGACTAAACCAGTCGTAAGTCGAGGACTAAACCGGTTGTAAGTCGAGGACTACCCAACCGGTCGTAAGTCGAGGACTTTCCCTGCCCGGGAGCGCCGCGCATGCGTGGTTCCGTCCCCTGCGCCGGCCGAGGCATAGCTGGCAAGCGGCAGAGACGGAGCAGGCCGACCACCAGCTGGCCCAGCCCAAGGAAGGTAAGGCACCCGCCGGAAAAGGGGAAAAAATGGTGGACAAAAAAAATGGCGGACAAAAAAATGGCGGACAGCCTTGCTTGGCGACCCCCGTGAAATGGTCAATCGACCCCAAATGGGGTCCCGACCCACAGGTTGAGAACCACTGGAATAGAGCTTTCTCCACAAGGCCACTGAACTAAGAAGAAATGGGCATACACTGTTTGTAATGTCTTGCAATGAGGATGCACCTGATTTAATCAAAACAGTATGGGAGTGACACAGTTTTTAAAACAATCTAAACGTGGGTAAACTCTCTTCCTCTCATAGAATGTCCTGGTGGATCTGAAAACATATGCAACCAGCATGGAACCTGTTTGGATGGCATTGCGAATAATGGAACTTGCATTTGTAATGTAAGACTGGCTTTGCTTTCTCCAAGAATGTATTACTACCAGTAGGCTGGACAGTTTATAGCCCAGAGCAGGGCTTTTTTTCTCATAGAACGCCCAGAATGGAGTTCCGGCACCTTTTTTGGATGGAACCTTGTAGGGTAGGCAAGGCGGGTTGTATGACATGTGTGAGTTCTGGCACCTTTTTTTTTTTTTTTTTTTTTAGAAAAAAAGCACTGGCCAAGAGCGTTCTTCTAGTGCATCACAACACTAGCTTGGATGACTTTCTCCCACAGTGCTAATCAAAGAAAGAGAGTGACATTTACATTTGGAGGGGTAAATTTGTCCTAGAACTAAAACAAAAAACCAACCAACAAACAAAAACCAGACTCTCACCCCTCTCCACAAGAAATCCGGAGACTGAAGGGAATCTGATGGGAAGCAAGAATCTCTCTGAATGTTTATGCTAATGAGCTCTTATACCTTGTTCCACTATCAAGGTGTATTTTAATCTTTGTAGAAAAGTTTGTGTTGCTGTCTGTGAGTTTTAGATGGGCATCTTCAGTGTCACCAGGAAGACCCACATAGTCCATTTTTCAATTTACTTGGTTTTCTTTGATGTTCTTTCATTCTGCTCATCATTTAATAGCTACTCTTCTTGGAAAAGTATATATTGCAATGCTCAATAAGCGAAGTTCTTAATGGAGCTGTTAATATATGATCACCAAGGGAAAAGCATGTCATGAAATAATAAATACAGCAGGCAAGTGTATCTATAACTCAAGGTTGAACTGTGGAGTTCTTGATGCTCTCTGTGCTGCTTGTCTGTTTGCAGATGTTTCATTATCCAACTAGGTAGCATCCTCAGTGCTAGTGATTATGGCATTTGCTGCCTGCTTATGTATAGTAGCTTGCCCAGCCATGAATCAAGGAGCCATCAAGGAGGAAATCACACTCTCAGCAAAACTGGCATCAAGAACTCCAAGTAACAAATAGAATTTATGTGCTGATTTGTGCACCTAATTAAATTCTATTTTGCTTCCTAATCATTATTAAAATCATGTAAAAAGAGGAAATATTTTATTAAATTAGATTTTTTTTACAATGGTACATTTGCTGCTAAAGGACTATATCGGGGTAGGCAACCTTGGCTCTTTTATGACTCGTGGACTTCAACTCCCAGAATTCTTGAGCCAGCCATGCTGGCTCAGGAATTCTGGGAGTTGAAGTCCACGAGTCATAAAAGAGCCAAGGTTGCCTACCCCTGGACTATATAGTCCAGCACACTATGAATTAAAGTATAAAGCAGAGGCTGGCAAGGCAGTGCCTGCAGATCAACAAAGCACCTTCTAGACATCAAAAGCTGCTCTTAGTTCCCCCATTTTTAAAATGAGTTTTTTGTAAGATTTTGTTCTTTTCACCAAAGCTTTTATGCATTATTTGGCAACTGGGTGAAAAGAACAACTTGTTGTTAATTGTTGCTAATTGCAAAGTCGTGTCCGACCCATCGCGACCCCATGGACAACATTCCTCCAGGTCTTCCTGTCCTCTACCATCTTCTGGAGTCCATTTAAGCTCACGCCTACTGCTTCATTGACTCCATCCAGCCACCTCATTCTCTGTCGTCCCCTTCTTCTATTGCCCTCAATCTTTCCCAGCATTAGACTCTTCTCCAGTGAGTCCTTCTTTCTCATTAGGTGGCCAAAGTATTTGAGTTTCAACTTCAGGATCTGGCCTTCTAAAGAGCAGTCGGGGTTGATCTCTTCTAGGACTGACCGGTTTGAACGCCTTGCAGTCCAAGGGACTCGCAGAAGTCTTCTCCAGCACCATAGTTCAAAGACTTCAATTCTTTGTCGCTCAGCCTTTCTTATGGTCCAACTTTCACAGCCATACATTGCAACTGGGAAAACCATAGCCTTGACTATACGCACTTTTGTTGGCTGGGTGATGTCTCTGCTTTTTAGTATGCTGACTAGATTTGCCATAGCTTTCCTCCCCAGGAGCAAGCGTAAAGGACAACTACTGATTATTATATCCAGATAGGATAATTATTACATTGCTGAGTTTGCTCTATTGAACAGAGAGATTTGTAATTCAGCCAGCTTCTCTCCTGCATTCTCTTGATTACAAATGGAAAGAGGAATTGTGGATGGAGCATGCAAGAATTTAGAAGGAAGCTGATTCAGTTCCATCTCTCTTATTTACATGTGCATCCTCTTCTGGAATAATGATTACATGAAACATTTACATTACATTAATTGTTCATTTTATGATCTGCATTTCTTTAAGTAATTGGTCCTCTCTTTTTTCTAAATACAGTCTATTACTTTAAAAAACACACAACTATTGTTTATACAGTAGTGCTTTCTTAAAAGAACAAAGGAGATTTAATTTTAACATTATCAAGGAAGCAAATTGATGATAATGTGTATAGATAGTTTCTTTATACTGTATACTGTGCATTATCCCACAGAAGTAAACTATTGGTGGCCTCCCAGATGTTATTAAAACACACTGTCAAGACCAAATAAATCAGAACTCCAAGGCTTGAAATTTCCTCAAAGCACATGTTTATTAGATAAATAATATCGGCACGGTCAAAAGTGAAAACAAATCTAAAATTCCCCTTAAAGATTCAATGTAGCTAAATGTAATAATTCCCTCCCCTTTTCTATGCGATTATTACACTACCCAATAAAAGCAATTGCTGGCTTCCGTTAAACTTCTTTTCTCCATCTTCCAGCTTCTGTGGGAATGACCTTGGTTCCCATGGGACCGCTGTATGTTTAGTCTAGCAATGCTACCGTTTTCCTTTTCCCCAACCTGTGGCAACTTAGAATGACGAAGATGGCTTCAGCCAGGTTTGTTTCAGAAGTTGACACACACCTTCCAGCAACTTTTGTTGGCAAAACATCATTGAGAGATCTGCAAGGAGTTGTAGTTCTGCAGCCTTGGAGGACTACAATTTCCTCAGCTCTATTGTTAGGAAGCCCAGGATCTATCTTCCTTCCTTCCTTCCTTCCTTCCTTCCTTCCTTCCTTCCTTCCTTCCTTCCTTCCTGCCTGCCTGCCTGCCTGCCTGCCTGCCTGCCTTCCTTCCTTCCTTCCTTCCTTCCTTCCTTCCTTCCTTCCTTCCTTCCTTCCTGACATAAAAATACCATTGTAAAAGTTCATCTCTTTGATTCCTTTAGGCAAATTATGGTGGCTTCGCATGCCAAGATTGCAAAGATGAAAAGCATTTCGGCCCTGACTGTCAATCTGGTAAGCATCTCAAGCCCAGGATCTCACTGAAATGAATTGAGATAATGGCTGTTAGTCAACTAAGAGAAAATTTGAATGAGCTGATGGGCAAATCATAGGCACATGATAATAGCAATGGGCACTATAAATCACTGTAGAGAAGCATAGTTAAAATGTTCTGGGCCAGGTATCTGATGTATCTGTATCGATTTCTGAATACATTTGGAAATTTCTTACATTATCTATCTACATTAATTCTGATATCCCTGACCTGAAGAGTACAGTGATAGCGGAGAATAGTTGACTCTATAGCTCCTAAGTGCCTTTTCAACAGCAGAGCTCTATCAGCACCCTGGTTTATGAAGCAATTGAGAATAATGAAGCGGATAGGTAGAAGATTGGGGCACCCAGCTGTACCACTCCAAACCTCAGTCTCCAAGGAAACCAGTATCAATATTGGGCTAGAACTGGTAGAACAGGTTGAAATTAATTCCAGGCAAGACAGAGGTGCTATTGGTAAAGATCCATCAAGTTGTTGTTCTCTTAGAAACCACATTGATAGATTTTCTGCATGACAATTCATCCCTAATCTGATCTTTCAGGTCTTTTAGTGATGCCTTCATCACCAGTGTAATTGAGTTCATTTGTCTTGCTACCGCTCTTGCTGTTCCTCTTTTTCTGTTTTCTTCCACCTCAGCATTATAGATTTCTTAAGAAAGCTACCTCTTTGCAGAATGAGTTCAGAATACAATAATTTCAGCCTTGTCATTTGTGCCTTGAGTGAGAACTTTGAATTGTTTCTTTGATGTTTCATTTGTTTGTCTTCTTGGATGTCCACAGTATTCTTAGGAGTCTTCGCCACTATTGCATTTTTAGGAGTCTTCTCCAAAAACATAGTTCAAAAGTGTCCATACTGCTTCTATCCTGCTTCTTTAAAGTCTAACTTTTGCTTCCATTCCAGGGCATACCTTGGTTTGCATGATTCTGATCTTTGTAGGTATAGACATAGCATTTAAATATCTTTTACAAGGCCTTCGTGGTAGCTTTATCAAATGCTAGTTATACCATATTTCTTGACTGCTTGTTAATAATAATAATAATAATAATAATAATAATAATAATAATAATAATAATAATAATAATAATAATAATAATAATAATAATAATAATAATAATAATAATAATAATAATAATAAAGTTGGAAGGGACCTTAGAGGTCATCTAGTCCAACCCCTTGCTCAGGCAGGAAACCCTATACCATTTCAGACAAATGGCTGTCCAGTCTCTTCTTAAAAACTTCCAGTGTTGGAGCATTCACCACTTCTGGAGGCAGGTTGTTCCACTGGTTAATTGTTCTAACTGTCAGGAAGTTCTAGGTTGCTTCTCTCCTTGATTAGTTTCCATCCGTTGCTTCTTGTCCTGCCCTCAGGTGCCTTGGAAAATAGCTTGACTCCCTCTTCTTTGTGGCAGCCCCTGAGATATTGGAACACTGCTATCATGTCCCCCCTCGTCCTTCTCTTCATTAAACTAGACATACCCAATTCCAGCAGCCTTTCCTTATATGCTTTGGCCTCCAGTCCCCTGATCATCTTTGTTGCTCTTCTCTGTACTCTTTCTAGAGTCTCATCTTTTTTACTTCGTGGTGACCAAAACTGGATGCAGTATTCCAAGTGTGGCCTTACTAAGGCATTGTAAAGTGGTATTAATACTTCACGTGATCTTGATTCTATCCCTCTGTTAATGCAGCCCAGCACTGTGTTGGCCTTTTTGGCAGCTGCAGCACACTGCTGGCTCATATTTAAGTGATTGTCCACTAGGACTCCGAGGTCCCTCTCA